AAACCACTGCCCCCCTGCCTTTTTTTTAAAAGAAAAAAAAACAAAACAAAAAACCTCAGTCCTTTTGGTCCCTATTCCCCTCGGAGCACCACAACAGTGTGCTGTGGCGTATGATACCATGTTATTTGATCTATTCCCGGCCCTCTCTCTCTCTCTGCGGAGGCAGGTTGGCGTAAGTGGTTCTGTTCGTCCAAGTGCGTTTGCCCCCTAGGTACCTGGGTACATAGCTCGTTCCTGAACTTTTCATTCCTTTTCCATCTCTGTGTTGACGGGATGGGGTTTCTGACCCCATGGCTGTGACCATATGCGTGTCCTCTGTCGTGTACCTCTGCGGCCCAGTCGTCTATGTCCTTGACGTTCCACAGTATTTTCTCATATGAATCCATCATATCATGCTGTTGCACGCTGTTGTCACGATGCACGTAAAAAGTAAAGTGTGGCTCCTTGCGAGGGTTGAATGCCTGTCCGAAATTTCTGGTGGTCTCAGAATATGTAGCCACCTGTTCACGGTGTCGGGTGCAGAATATGCTGTTCAAATATCGGGTGAACAAGAATAAACAACGAGGGAGGGCCCGCCGGGGGGAGGGGGTTCAAGCGCCCGCTAGAGATGCTGAGATTCGATCTTGATGCTGTCGAATGAATGGCGATATACAATCCAGCCGTTTGCGGCTTAACTGCTGGTTTCGACGATAGCAGAAAGGCAAAAATCGACTCGTTCGTAGGACCACAGAGCCCTTCTCGGAGAGTCTCGGTTCCGGATTGTAATAATGTTACTTCCACTAATCCTGGACCAAGTTCTTCCTACAGCCACAATGAGGTCGTCGCTCACTGCAGAAACACATCAACACCGACCTCATTGCTCCATCCAGGCTCCAGCTCCATCTCATCCCATGCCGAGGCGATGTCGATTTCGAGAACGCCACTCCCTTCAGGTCCGTATTCGGCATCGAACCCAACAACATGTTGCGGCACGGCCTGTCCTTGGATAATGACCATCATATCTTCCACCTTGCGCTGTCGAGACTGGGCGTCTGAAATCCAAATGCCGAGTACACCAAGGGCCTTTAATTGCACGTGGATCTTTAGTCGAGGAGTGGCAGACTGAGATCCTACTTCAGCATGGTTGAAGCTTGACTCGACGATTGCACATGCGCCAGTGAATTTGCCCAGAAGACCCAGGATGGCGATATCAACATCGGAATTCGTGGCTGGGAGATGGAAAGCGTGTACGGGGAGAGACGTCCAGACGTCGTAGCCACGCGGCAGTAACGTGCACTGAAGTAAGCTGTCTGGTCGAATCGGATCGGAGGGGTGGATTGGGGGCGTGATGCGTTTCGAGATATGTGACCGGACTATCCACCTCCTGCTTGAGACATCCGTTCCTCCGTGCGTCGAGGCTGTTGCATTCACGCCAGGAAATTTCGTGATTGGTAGGATGAAGCTGGTTTCCGACTCGGCGATGTTGAATACCCCTAGAATCCCGGATCCGACATCGGACTTGCCATCATACGCGCCAATCTTGAGAACGCCCTTCTCATCGTACTTGTCGTAGACGCCCATAGTTTTGCCGACACAGCTAGGACGCAAGATGACTGTTTGTCCTCTCGGATTCAGAGCAGTCATTTGATGGATCAAATCCACATCGTGTTGCCCGGGGGTATCCGTAATATAGATAGGCCCCCCCGATACACAACGTGCCGCGGCATGGAAGCCACTGTACGGGTGACTTGACTGAAACATGTCCCAGTCAGGGAGTACATTGAGATGCTGGGTGAATAAAGCGTTGTGTGCGTTGACAAAGACATGCCAGGCGTGAGAAGTCGGAACATCGGGAAAGAAATCGTCACTGTTGCGGAGAAGAATCCTTGGTGTCGTCACGGGAAGGAAGCTGTGGAAGAGGATTTGAGGGATCATCGACATGCACGAGATGGCTTTACCAGAAAGATGGCGTAGATGTGCTTGCGTCCATGCAGACTGGTAGGCGTTGGTGAAGGCCCGTCGGTCAGATGTGTCTGCAAGGAGGTCGAGTGCAAATTGAACGTCAGTTTTGACGCCGGTGACTCCCGCATGAGACAGGAAGCGGTAGAAGTCATCATACATTCTATGGATGTCATCCGGATGGATGGTGAGCTTTCGTCCGGCCATGGGCGTTCCGTCGCGGAATGTGACTTCGAGCGTCTTGTACTTCTTCGCAATGTCGCCTTCCGGAGAGATCCCGCCCCAGTACCCCATCAAGGCGTGCCAAACGGCAACGTCACGTATCTTTGGGTGAGTCTCTTTGATTTTGTCTATTGACGATTTGAGTCCGTCGGGGAATCCCAGGGGATTGGCTTCAAAGTCCTTCCAGCCTCGATGGAACTGGTTGGTCGCGCCTTGAGTGCCATCAAGGGACTGCCAGTTGTCGTCGATGATCAAGGTCGAGATATAAATCTGGTGTTGTGCAAGGGAATCTAGCCCTGCCATGATCTTTTCGGCATTCAGATCTTGCCCAAGGGAATTCCATGTACAATACGCAAGACTGTCGTACCAACTTGCCAACCACTGTGGATTAACTGTAGAGTTGTCCGACGAGTGCTTGTCGTGATTGACCAGAACCGTGTCCGAGTCGAGGGACTGTGACCGGATGCTCTTCGGCAACTGGTCCAGTCGTTCAAGGGTTTGCTGGTAGGCTGTTGTCTGTCGAACGAGCTTTCGCATCTCATACATGACGGCGGCGTTTGCGACTTCAAACTTCCATGCCGAAGCCGCCAGGACCTTGAACTTGCGGCCTCGTCCGGAGTCATTTCTTGCTTGAACCACAATTTCGCCTTCGTTCGTTGACCCGAATTGAGTGAGGACGTCGTCAATACCGTTGATGGCCAGGATCACGACGTGCAGACCATCGTATCGTAGGAAGGACAGTAATATCGCCGGCTCCGACAGATGGAGTTGATGTTCGCCATGCCGAGGGGCAAACCATGGTTCCCATATCCGCACCAACGCAAACCATCGGCAGAGTTGAGTCACTCTGCCCAGGACAAGTGACTCGACTTTGGCATTGCCTCGATTCGGGGAAGGGATCGGGTGAGCCGATTCGATGGTATATAAGCGCGCTTCAGGCGCATCGCTTGGAGTCTTCCTAAGAGTCCAACCTTCACCAACCTCGACAGGCGATGCGCCGAGGAAGTTGGGGTCGACCGGAGGTTGTAGAATGAGTTCACCATCACGGATACCAAAATTGTGATAGACCCAGGACCATTCCGCAGTGGGATCTACTCGGTAGCGGACGGTAAACGGAACTCTTCGACCCTTGTAAGTTTTGTCGGTCGAGACGAAGGGGCTGTCAAGATCTCCCGAAAATGTGTAGCGGTAATTATCTGTTTGAGTGTCGTCATAAAGGACTGCTGGCGTGTTGTCGACTGGTTTCAGATCGAGTGCATGCCAGGGAGCCTTGGTTCCGGAGTAGCTCGCGTGATCGTACCATATCGAAACCTCCCACGGTCTTTCAGGCAATGATTTCGAGGACTCGAGGACCACTGTAAAGTTGAACTAGGGGAATCGTCAACACGACGAACAGGGCGGGAATGACGTGACCAAAAAGACGTCATGATCGCGCATGAAATAATGCCATTTGGGTATCATACCGCAGGGCTCCCTGTTCACCGGGGAAAGCGACCACAGGAGAGGAGACAGCGGACTTACTTTGTCTCTTGTCGGAGGGACGACCGTGACCTGGGCCAGTGGAGGATAGGTTGCCAGCTTGGCGAAGAGGGCCATTTGTGCAGGACGATAGAACTTTATCTGGGTCGGTTTCGCACGAGGGGAGGCGGGAGAGGGAGAGGAAGAAGGAATGGCGAGATTGGAGTGCGACATGTGAAGAAAAGATGCATAGCAAGACTCGGAAATGACAGTCCAGTTGTGTACGAGTGGCGCCTTGCAGAGACAGTAATGAAAGAAGCGGCGATGGTCGAGGGGAAAGCGATACAGGGCTTGACAGGGCCGGGGGATCCAAGTGTGGTGATCTTGTCGGATATGATAGCGGGACCAATAATGGCGTCAGGCCTGGATAGAGACTGGATAGAGAGACGGGCAGCCAGACAAGCCAGGCAAGCCAGACAAGCGCCACAGAGCTTGATGGGACCCAGAGTTTGGTAATGAGAGGGTGTGGTTGGTTACAGCAGCACCAGCAGACCTTCTCCGTTGGTGCCGTAGCGATGAACTCCCCCAGAACTGCTATTCAGCGCACCATGACATATTCTCGCAGCTTCTTCTCACGGCTATGAATTCGGTCCCACCGCGCCAGAAGGGTTTGATGTTTGCTGAGCCGATGGAGGCGGGGACACTGGGGGACGCCAGGCGGAGAGCGAGGGCCTTTGATTCGAGTCTCAGGGTGTTGGAGCGCGGATCGTTGGGCCGTGGATGGAACAGAGTGCTCGGTCAGCTTTCCGAAGAGAACCTTGAAGGCAGGAGATTTCTCTTTGATTTTTGACTTTGACGAGCGTGTGGGAGAGGAATGATCAAGGGTTGTTGAGTCGTTGAGCAGAGTTGACCAAGACTTTTGAAGAAGGGGGTGAGTGGTGAGGCTTCCCGGCGAGCCAGGTCCAAGTCGTGAGGGCAGCCAGTCACGTGTCGTCAGAGGCTGCCGCTGCAGCTGCACATGTCATGGATGGGATTTTTATATGCTCCAGGGAAGAAAGTACTTGTACTGTACCAAGTTATGTCTACGTAGGCAACGTGTCTTGGTATCCTGCAATGGCGAGTGGCTTTACAGTACTTCAGGCACCCCTGATAAGTGCGCTGTAAAACTCTATTCAATTCTGGAGCCCCGTGTCTGTCGTGGTCTGATCCTAGTGAACCGTTCTGAATCCATCGCCCCAGGCTGGTGGGCTCCGGTCGGGTAGCAGTACATAATACATATGCCGCTCTAGCCTTAGACGACTCTTACCTCTGAGAACTACGTACCGGCTATCGCCCTATCGAATCAAACGACAGGGGGCCTTCTCGTCCACTCACCCGGCACTTCATATGCCGTATACATCCTTCAATTCGTCATCTTCAGACGCTGAATCACTGCCAAGGTCCACGCCGCTGTCCTCGAACCCAGTCTCGGCGCCGTCTGCGCCCACATGGTTCCTTTCGCGTGGCAGCTGGTACACCAAATATTCCACCGGCGCCCGTTGCTTCTTGGTCATCACTTCCTTCATGTGTTCTTGCACTACCGGTAGTACCTTCGCGGCTTTGGCGATCGTCTCTATCGTTCGGTGGTTTCTGGCCTTGATGCTCATCGTCACTGGCTCATAGTATTCTTGCTCCGCCTGCCATTTGCCTTCCGTTTCATCCTGTCTTCCTGCAGGCTCCCCGCCAGCCAAAATCTGCGAACCTTTGCGTTCCACCAAGAACGAGCAGATCATCTCCAATCCTCCCGGACGCATTTCCAACACTGCATGTTCCGGGAAGAGCCATCTATCTGGACACGCAGCCTGATTGCCAGACGGTATACTTGTCATCTCCATCACAATGTGCTTGATGACGGGCTCTGGCCGAACTGGAGGCGGAGGAGGCGGATATATAATGTAGCCTTTCCGTGGGTCTCCACGCTCAGTTGGTGGAGGCGCATGTGGAAACGGATGCATCGCCCCGGGCAATGCCCCTGGTCCTAGCGCTGGATCTGCAGGCGGAGGACCAGGCAGAGCGGTATTGGGATGCTGACGTGGCTGCGGTTGTGAAGTATTGGACGTTGACGATCGCCTAGAGATTGTTGCAGGAGATGGATTTGACGGCAGCCCAGGAGGTGTCGGATTCGGGGTAGCCGGCGGTCTCGGGGATTCTGCAACTGTCGGCGTTGATGACGGCTGGCTGGCTGGGCGTGCCTCACTTTTCGCAAGTCGATCCGCTTCCCGTCGTCGGATCACCTCGTTAAATTCATCGATATGAGCTTGGAACTCCTTCAACTGTTCAGGTGAGGCCCTCGAAGTTGCCACGATCTTCATCAACTCTTTCAATTGAGGATTAGACGTAGCCCGCGCAGCCAACATCTGGATGACTGGATCTGGTCTCGATTCCGGACGTGGCGTCCGAGACTCTTCGTGCGAGCACTGGACCGGCGGAATTTGTGAAGGAGGTGGAGCGGGACCGGGTCTCAGTTCTTTTCCTTGTTTGATCTGGACCGGGAGAGGGCTAGTTTGGGAGCGAGGCGGAGGTGCTGAAGGTGGCACCCCTCTGACCGGTACAACCGGTGTTGACGGTGGTGGTGATGCAGATGGAGGCGGTTGAGGCGGTTGCGGCGGTTGAGGATGGATATACGGACCATGAGGGGGATAGCCAGGGTAGGGAAAGGAAGGCGGCGGTTCATGAGTCATGCGAGACATTATGCGCTCCATGCGCGCCGCGGTATGTTGATTTGGATGAGGTTGGTACGGCAGAGGAGCTGTTGGATCTCGAACTGTGTAGAAAACTACATCGAACGTATGGGGCTCGATGGTGATAGTCGCCGTCCCCAACCTTTGCATTGATTTGGACTCGGGGTTGTTGGGGGGAGCCTCAATAACACCTTTTCTCTTGACGGGCTTGACCCAGTACTTTTCGAAGATGCCATGGCATAGCCACTGCATACGAGAGCGATGTAGGGATGCGGTAAGGGTGGCACTCTCAGCAATTGACTGATATTCACGGAGGGACAATTCGGAGGGTTGTTTCTCTTTGGTCGTGGGCAGCTGCTGGTTGGCCACAATCCGGGTGGGCAAGACATCTTCGCCCACAGAAATCGACGGCGAAGAGCGCGAGACCGAGCTTGGAGTTTGAACTCGGACCAGACTGGCTCTTTTCTTGTACGGGCGCTTCTGGCGAGGTTCAGAGGATGTGGCGGAGGTCTGCTTGCGTGCAGCTGGAGTGGACGTAGATGCAGATGCAGGAGGTTGCGCTGGCACGGACGCTCTTCGTTTCGCTGCAGAATCTCGTCTGTCGCGAGGAGGTAGCACTCGTTTCTGAGGAGTCACGTCGGTCATGACGGCGCCAACAACGACCTGGGGGTCGATGAGCCGTGCTGCGAGCCCAAATGACCACCCTCGGAGTGTACTATTTGGATGATCGAGATGATTTCGCCGCAAACAGCGGCGTGTACACAATATGGAAGGTTGGCCGGAGGTCACGTCGCTGCCGTCATCAGGCTGACCACAGCGACCTATTATTCACAGTGTTATCAGTTGAGCACACCAAATCCCGACAGCGACAGCTTCTGCCAGCTTTCGCCAGCTTGTACGAGTCCAAAACCCTGCTCGTGCAGTTGGGTATTACTTAATCGCTCGGCTCCCACGATGGATGTGTGAAATCGGCCCCCATCTTGCACCTACACCATCTTTCCAACGAACAGTACCCAACATCTGAAAACCGGCCTTGATACTGTCATGGCTTTCGAGAACTTGTTCCGGAAATCCTTCTGGGGCCTGGCTGGGTGTGGCTTGGTCTATGCCTTGGCTATGGCTGCTCTGACATTGCCAGTGGTCCAGCGCAATGCCACCTATGTCCACAAAATCAATCCCACCTACTTCCAGGATCTGAACAATACCGAGCAGTTTGGCTTTCTACATCACCAAATCCAGCCCTTCACCATTGTCACTCCTGACAACGTGACCCTCTTTGCCTGGCACATCCTGCCAACCCATCTCTACCACAAGCATGAGAAAGCGTTGACTGGGCAACCAGACTTTGGCCTGAAGCCTTTTGAGGTTGCTTCCAAAAGCGTCGGCCTCCAACTTCTTCTCGGTGATCCCACCGCAACTGTCGTGGTGGCTTTTCATGGCAATGCTGCTCATCTCGCCTCCAATTACCGCCCTTCTGCATATCAGCAAATGTTGGGTGTGTCGACACCAGAGAAACCTGTCCATGTCATTGCTTTCGATTACCGTGGATTCGGTCTCAGCACTGGTAGTCCCACGGAGCAGGGTGTGATCGAGGATGCCGTATCATTACTGTCTGCTCTGACCGGAGAGCCCGACGAGGGCAAACAGCAAAGCGACACAGGGCGCCAGTATGTGGATCCATCCCGAGTCCTCTTGGTGGGACAGTCCATGGGCACCTTTATTTCGACAGCCTTTTATCACGAGTGGGTTGTGAAGCTCGGCAGAGCTCCGTTCAAGGCTTTAGTGCTAATCGCCAGCTTCACTTCCTTGCCCAATCTACTTGAGTCTTACTCATTCAAGGGCCTCACTCCCCCCATTCTGTCCCCGTTGATGGCATATCCTCGACTCCAAGAATGGTTGCGCTCCAAGATCCAAGACAAATGGGACGCATGCTCCAGACTAGTGGAATTGGCACAGACGCCAGAAGTTGAGCTCAATCTTGTCATGCTACACGCTCGCAACGACTACGAAATCCCCTGGCGGGAGGGCCGGGCCAATTGGGAGTACACGTTGGACGCTGCGTCCGGGGGTAAGATCGATTTTGCACGAAACTTGGATGGAGAGGAATGGAGGAGCGAGGACGGCCGAAAGCGTATGCGATGGGAAAGAGTTCGGCACGGAGGGCATAACAGAATTCAGACCAGTGAGCAGGTTAGATTGGCGATATTGCGACTGATAGAAGACGAATAGACGAGCTAGAAGTGATGATGGAAGCATTGCAAGCCCATCCGAGCATTAATCCTACTAGGTGCGTGCTGACAGGGGCAGCAGGGGTTAGCAGACAGAGGGTATGAGCTGCCCTGGAGATCTTCTTGTTGCTCCCACAAGGACTCCACCTCGGTCAGAATGAGGGTTTTTGATGACGCGAGATGGAAATCTTTTTCGCTCTCTTGTTCGCTGGGTAGGAATATTGAAATGTGGCAGCCTACCGTGGGTAGTTTGTACTTGTTAGTGGACTGGGTACCTATGGGGATGGGAACCGTGCGCCTCACGAGGCTATGCACTGGCCATGCTCGGTACAAGGCGCTTGGGTGTTACAATACGACTTTGAGTAGGGGCTGCAATCAATACACTTGGTACGAGGTACAGGACTAGGAATCTAGCACTTGAGCTTCTGTCCTGAATGCTCCGTACGAGGGATGCTCAAATCGCATGGAGGTTCGCGTGTCCTCGGTACAGCGTACCTTGAACAGCCCTCCGCCCAACCGTCCGCCCTTAGCCGATACCCACAAAGCCACCTCGAGTGGCGACTGCTAGTTAAACGACTACAGGTGACTACCACCCTTACGGGAAGGTGGCTGGCTGCGACTGGGGCTTGAATGATGGATCATGGCATCCCCTCTGCCCAAGACTCTTGAATGAGGGCACTAAAGGGTGGTTTCTATTACATCCAGTTAATCGTTGACGGTTGTTTATGCGGCTGGCAAGGGCCAAGTAACCGCCATCCGAAATCTTTTTGCCGACTCAGCCATTCGCATTGCGGCCTCTCTGTGCTGTCTGTACTCTTCGTCGTCCGCAATTCCAGCATTCATACCCTGTACACCAGACACCCAAACCACTCTCGATCTGCCTTGGGCAATCATACCGCCATCACCGCTTCGTTATTTGGGTCATATTGCTGCTGCAATGATCCCGCCCATCCGTGCGCGCAGCAAGCTGCGATAGTCCACCTGCGCTCCATGGGCAGGTGACTGAATGTCGACTTCTACACCTCCCAATGGCCGAGCTGCCAGCGACGATGCCGGAGAACGAGAGCACCCGGATCCCAATCACCTGTCTCTGCCTACCTTTCACTCCGTCCGCGAATCTGCCAACGAGCGAGAGGGTCGGGGGACAAGGACCGAGTCAACTGCTTCAGGTTCTGCCAGTCATCGAAGTAGAAGTCGCAATCCCGACCCTCGACCTTCCCGATTACTAGAGCGTCTTTCCTTTGGCGGTAGCAGTGCTCAAAGTGACGGGGACTCCAAGAGCAAAGAGAAGGAAAAAGCAAAGGAAAACGACGCTCCCCGCCGCAATGTCTCTCGACGTTCTGGTGGCTTTCTTCTCGAGCCCGTCTCCAATTCCAAACGGCTCTCTCGCGGATCACTCGCCCCTGCTCGAGAGGATTCAGAAGCAAAACGGAATAGCGGCGACTCAGAATTGGCGCTCGTGAAGAGAAGGCACAGAACCAATGGCCACTCCAACTCGTCCTTCAAAAGTTCTCCACTTGCCAGCGAGGTCAAGCAGGATCCCATCATCCATAACTATCCCAGCTCGGAGCAGCTTGTCCCTGGCACTGACGTTCGACGGTCTCTGTCGTCCTCGCATAATAACCCTCGGTTCGCGGGCAGTCCGGCGTCAACCTCGCGTAACCTGGAAGTGCAAAGAGCGCCCGTGGCCAGGGTTGGCTTCGACAATGACCCTGCCCAGATTGTCAATATGGCCTTGAGTTTAAGTGAAGGTCGACGTCGCCTCGCTTCGGGGAGGAGATATGTCTCAACCGAACAGGGCGAACGCCGTGTCGTCTCCGCCGCGTCAACCACAAATCCGAGCAATACCGTCCGGAGAAAAAGCATCGCGCCCTTTCTCGCGACAAATCGTCCGTTCTCGCAGAGTGGCTCTCCCAAAAGGAACGCTTCGGCCAAATACCGTGACCCAAACGGGCCAACGACGACGACCCCTGTCGATGTATCTGTTACTGAGGTGGACCCCAATCTTGACGTCGACCCGGATTTCGCTGACCAGATCTCGCCGGCCACTGCAGCCCGAGTTGAAAAGGCAAAGGCATACTTTGAACTCGCACATGAGCATCGACGCCTTCTTCCACATCTGCCCCCCATACGAAAACCAGGGAGTCACGTCCGGTCGACAGGTCCAGAAGCAATGCAAAAGGCGTACAATCCTTTACAGTACGTCCGAAATCGCAAGCTCCGCATTTGGGAAAAGACGCCAATCGATAGCGAGGTGGATGGGTGGCATGATGTTCAGAAGGTCAGGGCATGGGTCGATGCCGTGGTTTCAAGTCACCCAGACACCCAGCACGACTCTTTGGAGTGTGTCCGTTTACCTCCGCTCGATCTGCGTACAGTGGACACCGACAGAGAAGATCCCGATGATTCGCCAGATGACCCAAAGAGTTCAGTGTTGTCTCGTGTACCAGACCAACTTCATCCCAAGCCAACTCGTCCACGCTCTGACTGGGTAACTCATCCGGCCGACTTGATAGCCGATGCATATTGGTTGGAGCAAGGCCTGAACAAGACGAAAATCCAAGATCGAGACAACAATTTGATCTATCCCCCGAGTACTCATTTCACGTTCTCGGGTTGGCGCAACCAAGCACCCCTCAATGTGCCAACTAGCTTGCAGCGATCCTCTCCACCCCCGGAGTCCCATGACGGTTCGTTTCAAGAGACGCCTTCATCAGCCCTGCCTGAGTTGCCGACGTTTAGGTCAGCTCATCATCCACACAAAAGTGGGCGCCATGGCCGCCGCAGAGACATTATCAGAGATTCTGTTCAAGGCATGGGTGGTAGCAGCTCTAGAGAACGCTCTCGAATGCGCAAGAAGCTGTTTCAGGACAGCAGCGATTCGGAATATTCGGCCTCGACGTCTCCAGATGATGCGGGGGTTGAACGCGGTCGCAAACGACTGCGGCGAAAGAGGCAAGAAACCCCTCTTAACGACGGTCTGGACAAGCGAGGTAGTCACTCGCTGCCAAAGCAGTCGCCGCAGGCATTTGGACACGGTCACGGCGACTCAAGTCAGGGTTCCTCTGCCCCAACGTCGAAAAGAACTTCAATCGATCATACTGGTCTCAATAAGCTTTTCAAAGTTGACAGTCTCAAAAAATCTTCCCCCTTGACTCGGTCACGGAATAGACAGGATTCATCTCGGCCTCGACCGGTGCAGGTCCCGGTCCGTTCAAGCCTCGAGCACGAACGGCAACCTCGCGCATCTACAGAATATGACACTACCACCGCTCCGAATTCCCCTAACGGAGTTGAATGGCCTAGTATTGCCATCAACCTTTCTCCGCCTCCCAGTAGACCGAGTTCGCCCTCCAAGAAACCGATGTCTACCATCTTACATCCTTTCCACCGCAAGTCTCACAAGGGACAAATCAGCACAACTGACTTCGCACATGTTCCACCAGTGCAATCGATTCACGGACCTGAAACAGACAAACACATTGATAGCCCCGATTCTCGTGGCCAAAGCCCCATGACCAGGACCGTCAGTTCACTGTCCAAAAATCAAACGAACTCGACAGAGGCAGACGAAGTGACCCCACAATCGTCCATTGAGCACAGACACAGTACAGCGAGCAGAGTCAGCACGCGGTCAACTACCAATGCAGGAAATGACCATTCCAGGATTCGGGCGATGTTCAAAGGAGGTCGCATAGCAGAAATCGTCGGAAATGAGGTTTCTCGAGTAGGAGACTTTATCTGGAAACGTGATGTCCCGATAATATACCGGCACAGAGGCTCGGCCTCTGAAGGTAGTATTCGATCCTACGAAGGGTCTGACTCAGAGAGAGAGCATCATCACCATCAGCAAAACGGGACGATTCTCAGAACACCTCCGCACCTTGCACGCTCAAGATCATCCACCATCTCAAGTACGAAAAGCGACCATGTCTCGCCCGTCATCACCAAGACAAGTAACTCTGGAAATGATCGTCCTCGATACAACAATCCTAATCTGCCCAGTTTCACATCGCCTTTCCAAAAAGATCGCGAACGACAAGAGAAGAGGCAAGGGTTTCTGGCGCCAGATGACGCGGCCACAAGGAGTGATGCTACTGACCACATCTCTCGTCTGGCTGCTCAGCGTCGCTCGGCCTCACATTCGCCACGACTTGCTGCCCTCCCTAAACTTGATACTGGAGCACCCCCTACACCAAATGACTTGGGTCGACGGAAGAGCTACGGGTTTAGCGCAGCTCTGGATTTGAGCAGATCGCGAGACGCATCCGATCAGCTGAATTCTGTCATCGGCCCGGTCACGGGTCTGAGTGGCCTCCGCACTGCCAAATCTACCGGCGATCTTTCAAAGGTGGGCGGATCCGAGATAAGTCAAGAAGACGGCGAGCCTCAAGACGTGACATGGCGCGATATTGAACGAGCACAGGTCCTCCTATATACTTCAACTGTCAAAGCTCGAGAAATTGGACGTCGAGCGGAAGATTCAGGTGAAGAACTGCCGCCATTCCTTCTCGAAAGCCTTACCCCGGAGAACAAAGCCTTGCATTCTGCGAAACCTTTACGGGTGAAGAAACGAGAACGACACATCATCGCAGCACAGAACATCATGAAAACGCTGGAGGGCCACTCCTCAACCTTCAATAAGAAACTACATTCATTCACCACCTCGCTTATACCCGCTCTGCACAGCCAACTCCAAATCCTCGAAGATCAGGTGGAAAACACCATGACCCCGCAAGTACGAATAACAGCGGATTCGGCTGGCGAATTGAGCATGAAGCTTTCCACAACTAGTACGCTTGCCGTCAAAGAACTCAACGACTCCATTGAAGTCGCTTTTCGCCGGAAGCGGAGAGGCCCGATCAGGCTGTTCCGCAAGCTGTGGTTTGCCGGCATTGAGTGGACCGTCGTTGGGCTGCTTTGGCTCATCTGGGCTGTCGTCTCGGTAGTGAGATTTGCGTTGGGAACGGGCAGGTGCGTGATTAAGGGAGTGAGATGGCTGCTTTGGATTGATTGATGGGCCGGGAGATTTTGGCAACCATCGAGGGTGAAATGCGCAACCAATCTGCCTCTTTGGGTGAGAATATATGTAAGTTGTTGACTAAGTCACGAGATATCTGAGATGAGGGAAAGCTCGGAACTATCCCTGGGTCATGTCAAGGAGTGATGCTTCTGTTCCTTGGAACCAGCGAGGCGTTTGGGATCACACCCCCTGGGGGAGACGAAATGGCTCGTACTCGTGGGCAAAATTTTGTTGGACACCGGAGGACCTTTTTTTTGGCCGGCTACGACATCATCTTCATACAGTTTGGTATAGCTTTTTAATTCACGGAACGGGATGGGAAAGCAAAAGGAACTATACAAACATAATGAGCGTTTCCTTGGAACCATTTGGCATTGAGAGGCCCGTAGGATAAGACGGAAGCTAGTGAACGGGCCATCGATTTCACGTTTCTGTGGCTGCGAAATACATATGTATACACAAACTTGCCTCTTACTCACTTGTTCGTCCTGTCACCCTTCCCTCCCTGTCTTGCCTTGCGTGTCCATTCCATTCTTTCCCCGTTCCGCCACGTCTATCATCCCTTCCAACAGCGTCAACTGGAAATCAACCAACCCTCAAGCACTGCAACCGGGCTTCCGTCTCAATGACATCTAGCGCCTGTCTGACTTCAAGCACCTTCCTCACATCCCCCAACCAATCTCTGCTCAAAACCTTGGCCCACCCCGTCAGAGAATTCATTTCCCTCGCTGCACCATCGAGGTCTCCTTCTTCCAGCATTGTCTCCGTCCGCGTAAGGATGCTCTCCACGTCGTTACCCGTGGGTTGCCCATGCTTCTTAAAGAGCACGTTCGAGAGAACTAACGAAGCGGCGTGCGATGCGATACCCGCGTTCTCGGGTAGGAGTGATGCTTTCCTCACTTCATGTGCGACGCGACGGAAGCGGTCGATTAATTGCGGCTGGGAAGGGATTCCCTTTTGGTATGATGAGGGATTTATGGACGCAATGGCCGCATCGACGATCGGATCGCCATCGGCGCAGAGTTTGAGGGCAGCCAATTCGCGCACAAATGCGCGAGGTTTTGCGTCTGAGGCTGCGCTTGCATCAAGAGCAGAACGGACGGCGTCCACGGCCACTTGCAATTTCTGAGTTGCAAGATTGGAATCGATCACGCCGTTCCAATTTGATGTGAGTTCTGTAAGATTGTCGATGTTAGTGCTGAGATCAGAGAGCTTGCTTAATCTCCCTTGACGCTCGGATTCCACCAGGTCTTTGATCTGCGCGACAAAGTCACGTTTCAGCTCGATTGCTTGCTCGGCCAGTTCGTTCTTGAGTCTCTGTTCCGCCAGCTCAGTGCTTCGCTGGACCTCGGTCTTCACCTTCTCTTCATACAGCTGTGCAAGACGGGCTCGTTCAGTCTCGAATTCCTCGCGATAGCGGGCGTCATCCTCTGCCTGAGCAGTCTCGATCCTCTTCAGGAGCTGTTTGGCACCTTCGTCGAATTCTCTGTGGGCTTGCGCGATACGCTCCTCAGCGGCCTTGCGTTCTGCGTCACGCAGAGTGGTTATCTTGCTGGCGACCTGTTCGAGTGATTCTTTCGCCTTGGCCATGGGGGCGGAGTATTTGTTGGCGGCGTCGGCAGAATCGGAGTTCACAACTGTGATGAGATCATTGACGATTTTGACGAGTTCTTGTACCACGGGTTCTTCGGCGTTGGGCACTGTGAGGGGTGAGATATGTGTGACTGGTGGGATAGCAGGTGTTCTTGAATCAGTTGTCGAAGGGGTAGAAGACACTTCCGGAGAAGCACCTTGCGCGGACAGTGGTTGAGGAGTCTCAGTTGGCTTTCCTTCCTGTTTTGCTGCCGCGCTTTTCTTTGCGGTTTCAACCGAGACACTTCTCTCTTTTGGCGTAGCGCTGTGAGAATCCTGTGTAGCGTCGGTGGCAGCCTTCGGTGTCACGGATTGGTTGGCATCCAAGGCACTCATGTGTTTGCCCTTTTGCGTGACATCGCTACCTTTCTGTTCCGGTTCTTCGACGGGTCGCCATGACAGTCCAGATTTCTGGGGGATTGTGGTTACCTTGCTGTCCTCTGGCCTTGCCTCTGGTCGAGGGGTCCTCGTGACATTATGCCTTGCGTGCGGAAATCTCTTCTGGAATGATTTCTCCTCAAAGTAGAGGACTGCGTCCTCTCCGAAAGGGATGTACTCGGTGAAGAAATCGTGGAAATTGTCGTTCCTCAATGCATAGAAGACAGCTCCTCCGTACGTGAGGGCACTTAAGGCAAGCAGGTACAGTAGCAAACGAAATCGGGAGGATCTTTTCCGGGGAGTGGGTGGCTTTTGAGAAGGAGGTGGAGGAGGAGGTTCGGCTGGGCTGACAGACGAGGGGGTCGTGGGAGGAGCTGTCTGAGTCTTGGTCGGGCTCGGAGGCGCGAGGGGGACGTTCTGCGGAGGAATGGTGGAGTTTGAAGAAGGTGAAGACGGTGTAGCAGGCGTGGGCGTGGATGTTTGAGGAGCTGGACTTCCGGGACCTCCAGGGCCCAAAGGAACCTCTGTCTTGACCGGAGCAGCGCTAGACTGGCTGCCTGGCATGAATGCTGGATCCGAGCTCAAGATCGAGTCTTTCTTGTCTGCAAATGTCCTCCGCTGAAGACCTGATGTCAGTTGCGCGAGCTTCTCACCTTCGAATCTGAAAACTTCGAGACGTACCTGGGACAAGGCAGCTTGGGCAAGCAATTGCCGGCGCACAGAGGCGCCAACAGGCCTCGCTAAACGCAGCATCGTATACTGCGCCGCCCTTCCCGGGCCCTTTTCTGAACGACTGTAGAGTACGAAGTTGGTGATCGAGGCTGTTGAAGTTTTATTGCGAAGCTCCAATCGATCTCCGAAGCTCAGGTACCGCCGCTTTTATGGAAAGCCCAACCGTCAAACACGTGACCCCACCAGGGGAAAACACCCCTTGATTGCAGCCTTGTGAACAGAAGCCTCTCTATTGCTACATGGACGCAATTCTTGTTCGTCTTTCTATGTCCCAGTTTTCCTGAGTTTTGTATTCTAGACCTTAACGCCACACTAAAGAGCACAACAGCCATGAGCTAATGGTCGACATTGCGCCGTTAGCTCATCTTTTGCCGGCTTTTTCCAGCTTCCTCCGCTTTCTTCGCAGTTTCTCGGCCTCTTCATCTCGTCTGTTGTTTGAGTATTGCATCTTCTCGTATAGTTTGCGCTTCTTATTGCTCATCATCATCTTTTGACGCTCAATTTCTTCCTCTTTTCGAGACCGTTCCGTTTGTCGGGCTTTGAGGGCCTTGGCTTTCTGGTCTGTTCCGTTCGAGCTCGATTTGACAGGGCGGCCAGCCGCTTCTGCTTCGAGTTCCTTCTGGTGTTGGGTGTCCTCGTCCAGGTCAGACTCCTCAGAGACAGCATCGTCGAAGCCGGCGAAGGTATCTTCCTCATCTTCGGCTTGCTCTTCCGATTCGTCATCCGAGGGCGCGACATCCATGTCGTATGCGTCGATTTCATCATCGTCATCATCAAGCTTGTCCTCTTCCTCCCGATCTTGTCCCTGGCCAGTAGGTCGAGTCGGCTCTTCTTGCTCTTGCTCATCCTCACTTTCCCCGGCAGCCGCTGCATCAGCCTCCCCTTCCGGCTCCTGTTCCTCTAAGGTTGCCCTTGGATCATATTGGCCGTTGACGGGCTTAACCCACGGGCTCAAGTGGGGAGGCAGAGTCTCTCCGGGCGCATACAAATCGGTCCGCAGCAGTTTACCCTCGTTTACACAATCCCATATCCACTGCGGCTGGATATAGATTCTTCCAGGCATGATATACCCGGGTTTGACAGCCTGAACATTTTGATCTTTCGAGCCTTCTTGGCCCTGGATGGAAGGCAATGTTTGCGACGGAGCAGGCCTGTCGACAATTTGATGCGTAATCCTGGGATCTCTTTCATCGTGGGTAAATGCACCCTCGCCTAGTACGGCATCCCATCCCACTCGTTTACAACCAAACGCTCTCAGTAGAAACTCGATGGGATGACGAGGGGCCTCACGAGAAATGAAAAATGTGAAATCCGAGAACAAGTGCGCTGCCTCATCGCCGGTCAGGCCAGGCTGCGGTAGAATGTCGCCTTCTGGTGCGGCGGGGTTGAAGGTGTCAATGGCGTCAGTTTGCACTTGTTCCTCGGCTTGCTCATCCTGCTCGACGTCCTCTTGGGCCGGAGTTTCTCGGGCAATCTTATCAATTTGAGCCTGGACCGCCTCTGTATTTCCATTTTGTGCATGGCCATTAGCCGGTGTGTTCTGTTCTTCCTGTCGATTAATCCCGCCAGCTATTCCGCGACCCTCCAGAGTGAATGCCGCTAGCTCTGCTCCTCGTTCGTCGGACACCACGTCGAACTTAGGTGGATACACGAGACCGATTGAAGTATAGAGTCTGTAGTTGACAAAGCCCAGCAGTGTACAATAGAACTCCACAAACGTGCCCATTATCCTGTAATCCACGTCTTGTGTCACCCGCTGTACAAACTTGTAGGGGACCAGCCACATTATATCTTGGCCCTGAATCGTCGCTTGGTAGTAGATGCCTTTGATAGACAAGAAGGACTTTTGTAGGGAATTCGTGGCAATAAGGTAATGTTCGAACTCGTGGCAGAGGCGTTGACAGCGCGAAATGACCTTGGCCGGGACTTCGGTGGTGGACGGGAGGTTTGCGAACAACGACAGCAATGACAAGGCATCATCGAGGTCCCGTAGAGCATCAACAAATGTCGGATATCGTTCTCGCACGATGTGGTCCAATTTGATTTTGGGCATGCGATGTTTTTCTAACCGCACCGCATCTTGCACTTCGTTTCGCCCGAGAGATCTGGCAATCTTCTTCTCGAGGGCTTTCTGTTCACGAAACTTGGCTAGCAACGGTTCGTGGAGGAGGTATTGGATGTCTTTGGTGTAGTAGAACGTTGTCGAGTGGGTGGCCGACTTGCTTGCCTTTTTGACATTCCTAGGTTCGCGAGGGTAGATGCCCTTGAAAATGCAGAGCCTCCGAAAGTCAGGCAAGGATATCTGCAGTTTGCGCACAGCTTGCGTTCGAGTAATGTAGTTCTTCGTCTGGCCAGCCTGGCCCTTTTTCTTTTGTTTCGCCATATTGGGCTGCTGCGAGGTGCAAAGCGTAGAGGGATTGAGAGGCTCTTCTCTTGGAGAGCGCAAGAGAGCGCACAAGGAAAAAAAGTCAAGATTGAAGATGTGGAGAAAGCAAACGCCGGTGTTTTGCCGATATCCACTAACCACATCAGGCTGCGGCCAATTCGGCCACCTTGGAACTTCAAACTTCACTCAGCCTCGACCTCCTTTTTTTCACGACCGTCGACACGCCAGCAAGCCAATGTGGTCGACCAGAGAGTGCATCTTATAACAAGAATGGCAATATCGCTGGACCGCAAGACGGCGGCGATATATGCCGGCGCGATTCTGCTGCGCCTTGTCATCTTCCTAGCCTTCCCCGACATTCCCAATTTCCTGACGGCGAGAGTCGAAATATCAACCCCGATTTCAAGCTTCCAGAGACTTCAGGAAGGCCTGTTTCTCTATCAGCATGGATTGTCGCCTTACGATGGCGGTGTCTTTCACCAAGCACCGTTGCTACTGGTCCTCTTTGAGATATTACCCTCCCCGCTGATCTTCGTTGGGCTAGATGTCTTGAATGCGGCCTCCTTGCAAGGAATCGCGGAGGAACTACGCGTCCCTACCTCTCGATTTCAAAAATTGGACGGGTCCCTGATTGCCGCAGCTTATCTCTTCAATCCATTTACCATCTTGTCATGTCTTGGGAGAAGCACCAGCATCTTCACCAATGCCGCTATTATCCAAGCTGTCTTGAACGCTCAGTCAGGAAATGCAGTTCGAGCTATGTTTGGGCTCGCGATTGGGAGTTATTTGTCAATGTATCCGGCTTTACTTCTTCCACCCACCCTTCTCATGATTCACAAGAGCAACCGATCCGCGTCCGTCGTGGCCCCGATCATTTCCTATGCCGCGGGACTCGCTGCGCTCCTTGCTATGACGCCCATCCTGACCAGCGGGTTCTGGGACTTCCTGGCCTCGTGTTATGGAGTTCAAATAACGGTCCCCGATCTGACACCGAATGTGGGGTTGTGGTGGTACTTCTTCATCGAGATATTCGATTCCTTCCGAGATTTCTTTATTGGCGTCTTCTGGTTGCACTTGGTGGGATATGTGGGAGGCATGACCCTTCGACTTCAAAGCCAACCGCTTTTCGTCATCACCAGTTTGCTGGGTCTGTTTGCCATCTTCAAGCCATACCCGAGCATCGCGGACGTCTCGCTATATCTTGGATTTCTGCCAATGTACCAACACGTGCTTCCACGTGAGTATGTCCTTGCAAGTTCGTCATCTTGTACTGACAATCCCAGTCACTCGCTACACCTTTATAGCAGCATCAGTACTGCTCTATTCGACCTTGCTGGGACCTGCATTCCACTATTTGTGGATATACGCCGGATCCGGGAATGCCAACTTTTTCTATGCCATCACGCTGGTCTGGAGTTTGGGATTGACCATTCTTGTGGGAGACACGTTGTTCGCTGTCATGCGCGATGAATGGGAGATGGAGAGACCTGAGATGAAGGGCAAAAGCGTACGCCAGATATGAAACCTCAATGGGATCATCGTTTCACTTGCTTCGAAAGAATGATGTGGCTCGGTTCTTTGACGGTGCCGTTTCTCAATTTGCGTGGACCGGGAGAGAAGTCGTCTTCTTCGTAACTCAGTTGAGTATACCAGCCAACAGCCCGACGATTTGCCCTGAAGGCAGTCAACATGATTTTGGTGATGCCAACGTTCTGGCCAATGACCTCGACGATCTTCATCAGTTTTTTGCCAATTCCTTTGCCTTGCCATTCAGGGGTGAAATGAATCTCGTAGACATAGAGCACCTCGTAACCATCTTCATAGGTTATCATGAAGGAGATGAAGCCGACAAGGTGGGAGGTACCATGAAAGAGAATAATATATTTCATGTCTGGCAGCTTCATCTCCTTCCTCTTCTTCGAGGTTGACCACTTTATCTCCGAGTTTTGGTAGTCCTGAGCACTGGTTTCCTCGATCAGTTTCAGGCATGCCTCCAACCATCCACTGGGCACGTTTGCAGCGTCTGCTTGCAGACTTGACAGCTCAAGTTCGGAGTGGCAGTTCCCCAGTTCGGTCATCAATTCAGGTGGTGCATACTTCGCAAAGAAGTCCGGCGCGGAGAGAGCATTGACTGTTTCGACCAGTTTTCTCTCCGCAATTGCCCGACCTTGCAATCTGCTCCTTAAGCTCCGCCGCTCTTGGTGCTGAGGATCTGCCATGTTGGGTGTGGCCCGCAGCGCTGATTTATAAACAACCTGGCTGGACATGCGCACGCGGTCTCCGAAGAAATATCGTAGCGCCAGCGGGATATTTGCTGCGCCGTAGTTGATGCCGAGGCTGCCCAGCACTTTGCCCACCAGCAGATTGATTGCGAAGTGCTACAATGTCCCTGTGTTCCTCCATACCACTATGACATCACGCAGATCTCCGTCTTTTCACACTTTGCACACTTTCAAAGCTTCTCGAGCTTCGCATGAAGTAATCGTTGAATATGCGAGGCACAGACTCGAACCAGTCAAACATCCTCCAAGTCTTGCCCGAAGCGGACACCCTTGTTCAATGTTATGGTTCCCAATGTGATTACGATCATCTATTGGTCATGATTTAATTGAGGAGGTCAAAGAGCATCACAGGACTAAGACTACCCATATTTTACTCTTTCCGCCGGCTGCACCACCAGCCTCCTCCCTCTCACAATGGCCTCCCTATATATACGCAGTCTCCTGTCCTCTGCTCGCCCTCGTCTGCCTTCGTCCTTGACAAGAACTGTCCATCCCTCGTACCGAATACTGTCCATCGCCAAAATGCACTCCGCTCCCAAACTCAAAGACCCCTCCCTCTTTATCTCCCAAGCCTACGTCAATGGCAAATTCGTCGACGCCGCCTCCTCTGAGACATTTGACGTCTATGATCCTGGCTCAGGCAAGAAGATAGGTTCATGTGCCGAACTTAACGCAGAGGACACGAACAAGGCCATTGGCGCGGCGGTGGATGCGTTCGTCTCCTTCCGAAAGACTCTCCCTCGAGAGAGAGCCACAATGCTACGAAAGTGGTATGAGCTGATGATGGAAAATGCCGATGACCTGGCTACCCTCATAACCTGGGAGAACGGCAAGCCCTTCAACGACGCCAAGGGCGAAGTCGTCTATGCGGCCAACTTCTTCCAATGGTTCAGCGAAGAGGCGCCCCGAATATATGGGGATACTATCGGAGCCTCCATTCCGGGCAATAGAATCATGACGTGGAAGCAGCCTGTCGGCGTCTGCGGTCTAATCACCCCCTGGAACTTCCCAGCGGCCATGATTACACGAAAAATTGGCCCCGCCCTCGCTGCGGGATGTACCATAGTCGCCAAAACCCCTGGGGAGACACCTTACACAGCCAACGCCATCGCCGAGCTCTCCCGCCGAGCAGGCATCCCTCCCGGCGTGGTGAATATCGTCACCGCCATGAAAAACACGGCGGAAATTGGACTGGCTCTCACCACAGACCCACGGGTTAAAAAGATCTCATTCACGGGATCGACAAACGTGGGCAAACTCCTCATGAAACAGTCGTCGTCTACGCTGAAAAAGCTGTCGTTCGAACTCGGTGGTAACGCTCCCTTTATCGTCTTCGACGACGCACCCGACCTAGACGCAGCAGTGGCAGGGGCAATAGCGTGCAAGTTCCGGTCCTCGGGACAGACATGCGTGTGTGCGAACCGAATCTACGTGCAAGAAGGTATCTACGACACCTTCGCCCAGAAGTTCACCGAAAAAGTCAAAAACTTTAAAGTCGGTTACGGCTTCGACGATGGCGTGACCCACGGCCCCGTCATCCACGACCGCGCAATCGCCAAAGTAGAATCGCACGTGCAGGACGCGACGAAGAAGGGAGGTAAAATTCTCTGCGGAGGGAACAAATTGTCCGACCTGGGATCCAATTTTTACGCTCCGACAGTTATCGCCGGCGCGACGAATGACATGAAACTCGCGCACGAAGAGACGTTCGGCCCCGTGGCCGGTTTATTTCCATTCAAGACGGAAAAGGAAGTCGTCGCGCTTGCTAATGATACCGAGGTGGGGTTGGCGGGATACTTCTTCTCCCAGGACGTTGGACGCATTTACCGCGTGGCAGAGGCGCTGGAGGTTGGGATGATTGGTGTCAATACTGGGTTGATCTCCGACGGCGCCGCACCTTTCGGAGGTGTAAAAGAGAGCGGGTTTGGAAGGGAAGGAAGCAAATATGGTGTTGACGAGTATGTCGTCATCAAGAGTGTGACGGTGGGAGGAATTAGCAACGAGTTACAAGGCTGAAGGGATGAATGCGACGGCGATGTCACACGCTGACTGACCAAGTATGAATGGAAACAAGAGTATGAAAGATTCTTTGGTTAGTGCGCCGGATATTTCTAGCAAAGGACCAACTGCACAACTGAGCCTCACGGCGTTTTGCCCATGCTCGGGGTCAGGTTACCGTGCGCAAAAAGGTGGGAAAGAAATGCAAAATAATCATTCTCGCATATGTGGACAAATGCCAGCACGTACATGACGCCTTCCCCTGCCCGCCGCCCCCACTCCCATTTTTAAGCGTAGCATCACACTCGGTATGTGGCTGGGAGCGGCATTGCAGCGGAGCTGAGGGAGGAGGGAGGATGGAGGCGTGCGAGGGGAAAGGAAACATGAAATGCGAATGCGACAAGGCTCCTCGGAAAAGGGGGGAACAGGTGACCTTGAGCAAAACGACACTGACAATAACTGACAAACTGGCTTAACCCTTCCTTGAGGCCTCGCTTAACATCAGCAAACTTGGAGATACGAGTCTCCACGACTTCCCGGAAGTTCTTAGGCAGGCAGGTAGGCGAAAGTAGCAGGCGGATCCAGAAACAAGTGGTCCTGTACAGTCTGTCCGATAAGAGGAGGGCCATTCAGTGTCCTTCATCCACAACAAGTATATCGTTTACCTGTATGAACAGTGGCCCCTGGTCATTCATCCCATACCGTCAAACACATTCGACATGGCGACCACCTTTCACGTTATTGGGCACTCTCGAGGTACATGTTCGGTGAAGAGACTCTGGCGCTTATTTCTGACTCCGGCCTGGTAGGTAGAAAGAATACAAGGCAGTGAGAAGAAAGGCGATGGGGGATCCAGGATCGCGAGGCCGGAATCCAGAGCAGGGGAATATTGTAGAACGAGGTCATTGCACGCGTACGATCCACTAGTTGTTGGTTCGTTCTCTCGTCCCATGCGTTCATCCATCTCTGTTCTGCGATTCTACTATTCCGTTCCGTTGCAGCGCTGTCCTGGAATAGCTCAACTCAATGCGTACCGCGGACGCATTTTTTGGGCACCAGTTTTGACCCCAAGCTCGTAGCTCGTAATTCTCGCCAGATGCACTGCCGCTGTGTAGCCAACTAGCTCCCTCCGGCCCTGGGGCCTGGCGCGTCGGAACCCAAAGGAAAACCGTTTCCTCGCGCGTTCTGATTGACCGATTGACAGCTCATTTGTCTTGTCTGGAGGGTGATAGGTCTCCGGTTCCCCAAAACTTGGTCGTGTAGCTTCGCGTCTAGCAATGGATGTATTCTTGATCCAGGTTCCAATGAAGCCTTCTCATCTCAAATTCATAGGAATCATGACGAGTGCATTAGTTTATAATGGTGACCCGGCGATCTTGTTGCTCAAAACTCCCTTCTTCCGCCAGTGCAGTATCTGGAGACGATGGGCATCTCAATTTCCCTTCGTTTCACCTTCTTATTGCTCTCCTGGTCCAGACCTATTCTTTTGTGTCTGGGAATGAATGCCCACACATCATCTGGCCCGTCTCCCTTTCGGCGCAGACTGTAGTCAGGCTCTTCAAAACTCTGCTCCTTTCACACCGTCACAGGCAATCCTCAGGTATAACGATGACGCGCCATTTCTCGCGCATTTGTAGCCAACTCGTCCGCTTCCTCCAAGCGTTTAGTCAGCTTCCACAGAACACACTCTTCGCCATATGCTGGAACCAGTCTTGATCAATCTCTCATTCCCTTTCGAAGGCTGGATGGTTTCAAGATCTGACCCGATGACCTCGATTTCTTTTTCCAATGCTGCGTTGAAGCGGTCAGACACTTCATCGATCACATCTTGGAACACCTCAGGAAGCAACCTTCTGAAATCGTCGACGAATTCCTCTCTGCTCACCCGCGCTGGCAGAACCTCGTGGCGCTTCCTTGTCGCACTCCATCACCTATTTTTTTGGTCAACTACCAACGACAAGCAGATTCTGTTAATCATTCTTGATAGTCTTTTGGCCTTGTGATTTATATTAAGTATGCAAGCCAGAACGTAAGAGCCCTCGTGGGTACCGTTCGCATCGCACCTCATATTCCCCAGTCCCTTGCGATAGCCGTCTTCGGCATGTTTTAAGGCGCTTCTCACGATCTCCGGCCTGGCGGGAGGAGCTTGCGGTTCAGAGCATTGATCTGCTTACCGTTCAAAGACTGCAATGTTGTTCCCGAGGTTGTGGCGACTTCAAGGTCGTACGAGGTTTTCCCCAAGACGACATTATTGAAACATGCTAGAAGCTCCTTGTTCCAGCCCCTGGGTCCCATTGTCCCTTTCGGACCATTCCCATCACGCTTCACCAACGAGACTATTGACGTAAGGTGCCATACTTCCCATGTTTGAGCCACCTCAAGACAGGCTGTGCGAATGGCACTCGAGCCTTCTTTCAAAGGCGCGTCGAAGCATTGTTTGAAAGCCGTATCCATCTCAGTGGCCCAGTTCTCTGTTTTCGCTAGACACAGTCTAAGCTCACCTGCCTGCTTCAGGGAGGCGCGGGCCCTTTTCAAGCTCAAGGTCGATCCTGCAGGACTCTACCCATGTCGCGAAAGCGGCGACCAGTGCTGGAACATTCTTTGCCAGAAAAAGATCTGTTGCCTTGAACAGATACTCGACCGAGAGATCTGCAAGATGCTGTCGAAGAGCGGAAATGCCACTCAGCTCTCGGTCTCCTTCTGTAGGTGCCCTCCGGTACATGAAATTGTCGACACGAAACACCCTGAGTATTCCACCTTTCACGCAGGAGCCATATTTGTTCTGCAAGTCCTTTCCACTTTTTCATTCCGAGTGGTGATCAAAAGCTTCTCTAGGTTGCGCTCGGCATGCTTCTTCGCTTTCTGTCCTGCCTCTTTTGCTTGTTTCAACTCGGCCCGGGCTTGATTGAGCTTAGACTAGTTGACCACTTCTCAAGGGTCCTATTTGCTTCGAAATCTCCTGCCGACCGCGTCCAAATCAATGGTGATGTTGACAATTGTAGAAAGCTGCGTCCGCACCTTAGTCCCTTTATTCCAAATTCTGCTGGATTATGGGGCTATCGCAAGCGCGGAAGATTTCCACCACTAAGCAAAGATCATCACACTTTGAACTGTGCCGTCCTTGCTGCCCTTATCCTGGCGAGATTTGTGTCACTGAATCCTGGTAGGTGAATCAACGTGAGTCCATCTATGAGAATGCCAATCTCGGCAAATATGGAAAGGCATTCCATCAAGGACCAGAGGCCGCCATCTTGGAGCAATGATTGGTGCTCCTGGCATTCATCTGCATCTTGCGATTCTTCAATGTAGCAGCTATCAGACGTCATATCTTCGGGAAACTTCACCTGCTGGCACAATGCTAGGAGGTATTTTTGGTCTCACTTAGGCTTTCTTCATCGTCGCCGTGTTTGAGTAGGTCGAAATCGAAATCTTCCTTGTCTGAGAAGGTTGCCTCAAAGATGTCGTGCGCTGCCTTACTATCCCCGTAAGTCTTTGGGTCGTTTCCTTCACAGTCCGTTTTGTCAACTGATGTTAAGTCCCGGAGGAGATCGCCGGCATACTCTCCCAGTCCACGCGGGAGCATTATCTTGCAGTCCAAGGCGAATGGACTGGATCGATAGCTTGACGGAAGCGATATTCGGCAGCGAAAGGGGTCACAGCAGAGCCACATACTCCAGTCCTCGCAAGATTACCTATATCAAGAACGGAGTTGAGGGTACTGCTCCTCCCAGCAGCTGAATTCCCTATGAAACCAATGTCTCTTTCTCGTGAGATCTGGAAATCTGCCAGCCGTTCAGCTTCCTGAAGCAGCGTTTTGGAGGGTTGCGTGGGCTTTTCCTCCAGACTGCGGCAATCAAAGCGGCACCTTGAATAGCTGCGAGCTCGAAACATGGTTCTCGATAAGGAGGATACAGAAGTTGGCTAGGCGAAGTGACCGCAGATCTCGTGACAGGCACTTCGGTAGGTGGTGATGCCATTGCGGCTTTGATCCAATGAAGGGTCGAATGTGGTTGTAGACTAGGAGCTGTGTGGTAGACGTCGATAGCTGACAGGATGTTGTTATTCAGGTCGAGAGGGAAGTGAGTCAGCAATGTTCAGGAACGGTGAACTGAACACGATTCTCCTCATCTCACGCCAGGGAGTTTGAGGCCGCAATTCGTGACGGCTGCTGATGTTGCAGCGGTCATACAGCTCAGCTTAATCAAAGGGCTGGACAGCTGTCTTGATTCAAAAGGAGACTGGAGGATGAGGTTTAAAGCGAGAGGACAATGTCTAAGGCAAGCTGGGAGGGAGCGACATGGACAAAGAAGGAGTTAGGAGGAGGGGTTTAAATGGAAAAGAAAGGAAGCAAGAAAGGACTCGAGAGGGGTTTATATGGAAAAGGATGGAGGTGGGGCAATTTGAACTAGAGCCGTGTGAGAAGTGAGGTGTAAAATATAAAAATACCCAAAAATGGAAACCCTTGTCCCAAAAGCATAGGCGTTATTATTATCGCTATTATTATTGTAAGGGTGAAGTGAGGTTGAAGTGAAATCTCCCAGAGTAAGACCCTAGGGGATACCATCTAAGATAGAGGTAAGGTTAAGCACGGTGGAGGAAGGACCTCAAGTGAACAAACGCAACAGCTCCGCTCCGAGAGGTCATGAAGCTGCCTCTGGCCGCTGATGAGATTGGAATCAGGGGGTGAACACTCCGTACGTATGGCATGGCATTAAGGCAGTTCGATTGCACGCCGTTATGTTCCTCTGACTTCCTGCCTGGGATCGGGGCCATAGCATTCTGCAGACACCAGTGTACAAGACTGGCCAATAAAGCGATTCGCGGATGAGGCCGTTGAAATGGCTCGGCTTGGCAAGTACCAACCGGGCTAATTAGGTGTCTCCTTTTTCAACCTTGGAAGTGTGTCGAGAGGTTGAGGTTCCATCGAGCGGCGAGATCTTTGAGCTCAGCCGAGCCAAGCCAAGGCTCCCGCTCAGCGGAAAATCGACACGGTCTTCGGAAAAGAACACGGGCGAGCATAGGGAAATCTAAGTGTCACGGGATACTACCTCGAGGGTGCTCAATAATGTCACAGCGACCGGCATGTCGAATGTGATTGACGGTATAGGATTAATGACAGATGGTCACTATTCCTAAAGATAACAAATATACTTAATGTGAATAAAGGGCACCTTCGCTCTAGTAGTGAAGCGGTTTACTTCAATTACTATATTACTATGTTGGCCGTGCCACTGGTCTTAACTACCGACGTAGTTGCCTCAAACGGGCAAGCAGCGATTTTAAAGGCGGGATGATGCTCAACAGTAGTTGCAGGACAGCGCCTCCTAGTTTGTAGTATTGACTAGCCCTATATTTGATCTTGATATGTACACCGGGGAGATGATTCCATGCCTGCCATTTCGCATATGATACAATTATCCTGCTCCTTAACCGAGCAGGCCGCGTCCTAGAGTTCATTTCAAGCCGGCCGCAAGTTTTGCCGCAATGACAGACTGTCAAATCCGGGTCTCACCACGTGTTCAATTGGTAAAAAATTAACTCCAACTTCGCCATGCCGCGCGGGTTTTACACAGAGACAAAGTATTAGCTCTTGTCCATAACTTCATAGTCCATCAACATCAATACTCCTCGTGGGCCGCGAACGGATCACCGACTCGCTGTGTTCTCTCCATCGGCCCAGAGCAAGAGCTTCTAGTGTTTTGCTCCGGCCCGACCAAATGGAGCCCCGTTTCGCCTTTTCTTGCACCTCGGGGACGAAAAAGTGTGTGACCGCCGCACCGAGGATCATGCATGCGCTGAAGACCACGAGGATCGTCCCGTAGCGTTTCGTTTGATTGTCACCCGGTGACGAGGATCCGAACTTGTAGTAGAGAGAAAACACTTGCACCAAGATAGATCCGAGTTTTCCGGAGGCCGCTGCAATGCCGTGGCACGTACATCGATAGCGAGTCGGGAACAGCTCGGCGGGAATGATGTATGTCGTTGAGTTAGGCCCTGGCCAAGTGTCAGCCACCGTGGTTGAAATGACATCCTCCTTGACTTTGCCAGTAACTTACCGAAGTTGAACAGGAACTGTCCAATCACGTATAGTGTGATTGCCAGAGCCCCTTCTTGCTGCACCACAATGAATTCGGTGCCCAAGGCAATAAACAAAGCAGCCAGAGCCAGGAACCCATATTTCTGCAGAGACACCCGGTTTAACCTGGAAGCCGAGAGGATCCACAAAATTCCTCCGGCGAAGCTTCCCGTGTTCAAAACGACCAGCGCCTGCACCGACGTGTCCATGAACATGTCGTAGATGTCGATATCGGGATCACTATTGGTCTTCCAGATGGGACTGGGCGCTGAGATATGCAAGCTACCCCAGGTCTTGGCAAGAAACTGGGGGTTCGACAGGCCAATACCGTAGTATCCAAAATCCAACAGGAGCCAGCACAGGGACACGGCAACCAGAGTTCTCCAATTTCCTTCGGTCCAGAAGTATTGTTTGATGTCGGCTTTCGATATTTTCCAGGATGAGTTGAGCGTTGCCAGCGGCGCTGGTGTCACTGCAAACGAGGGTCTAGCATCGGAACGTTCGTCAAGTGACCGATTGGACAGGTTTGACTCTTCAAGGGAATCACACCACATTCCGATTTCCAGCTCGCTGTTCATCGAAGTCTCACCGAACAGCTGGGTTGCGTCAAACTCGGCTTTGACAGGGTCATCTTCGATATCGAGCAGAAATCGAGGGGTTTCCGGGATGGCGAACCGGAAAAGCAAAGCGATCACTCCCGGTACCACACCAATACCAATAATCCACCTCCACATGATGTCAACAGACCGCTGAAGATCGTCGTGGTTCGAGTGGCGGGATATGGCGACCACAATTAGTGAGATGAGATTCCCCATGATCTGCCCGAGCGGCTGCATGAAGAAGACGCAAGCCATCATGCGCGCTCGGTGTTTGGTGGGTGCAAATCTGAGACACGTTAGCTGGATCGACGCTGCCAGCAGCGTAACACGACAAGACGACTGACTCTGCAGTTATGACGGCGCTCAGGGGATAATCCGCTCCCACACCTATCCCAACCATGAGCCTCCACCAAATTAACCAGGCATAGACGCTCATGCTTCCATTGTAGCCTTCGGAGCTCATGACCACCCCCAAGGTTGAAGCAATGAGCAGGAGCAACTCAATCCCGTACATTGTCTTCCGACCTTTCTTGTCAGCGAGGAAGCCAAACGTCGATTGACCAATGAGGGTGCCAGTGAGCGTGACAATGTTGATACATGTCACTCGGTAGGTGGAGACTTCTTGGTTCCAGTAGACGTAAGAGATCATAGGTAGGGCGATATTCCCGGCGAAGAGCTGCCCACTTGTCAGTCATGACCGCAATTCCAGAAGGCAGAGAAGAGACGGGCATACCGAAAAACCATCCAGGAGGAAGCCAACTCCAGCAACGAGCACTACAACCCACTGGAAAGGCTGTCGGTCGATGGTCTCGTAGATCTGACGTACACGAACATGGCGGTCCTAAAGGCGAAGAAGAATAACATGTCAGACCAACAGTTCTCTCGTTTCCAAAGTCAAAGTCAGAACCCAGGCAAGTCGAACCGAAAGATACGTGGCACCGTCTGGCCCAAGATACACGCTGTATCCAGTATAGCTGTAGGCGGCCCAACAACGACGAAGCGGTCGCTATATTGAACACAGCTAACGGTGTAGATGAAGGACAGAGCGCCTGTTTCCAAGTGTAACTGGAACGCTCATTACCAACGGAGGCCTGCTCCGTTCTAACGGTGAAGCCTTCGAGCGTGCCACGTATTTTTCATTTAGATTTGCGAGGGCCCTGCGATTCTGGGACCTACCCGCTCATGCTCAAAGTCTCTTGCGCGATCAGTCGCATAAAGACGTCCACGCCATCGTCCCATCGTAAGGCTGTAGAGGGTTGTTCAAGCAGAATGGGGCCAAAAGCGAGGGGTCCAGGGATAGATCAGTCAGCCCTCCATAGCGCAGGAATGATTCGAGGCCGTGGGAAACAGTAAGCCGCAGGGAAGAGCCTTTTGGGGGCAGGTTACAACTGTAAGTCTGGAAGCAAATGAGAGGGATTGGAGGGATAGATGTTTGAAGAGGGAATAAATGGGAATGACTTGGGGGGGTCGCAATAAGGATGGACTCTACGGGTACCTGAATTTTCTTCTGGCTGATGAGACGGACTCGGATATGAAATAGCTCGACAAGAATGGGGGGGTTTTTCTTTTACTATTAGGGTGCCACCTCCCCATCACCCTGCCCGTGGGCGGTGATTTTTCTCCCTCACATGCTCTCAGATCGGGCGCTGTGCAGGGCGTGGAACCACGGCACGCGTGAAATACTGCGTCCGGAGTACCTCGTAGAAAGAAACAGCCCCCCAGCCCTCCCTCGGTGACCAGCCCACTCACCCACTTTGTCCAGTGCCCCGGTTAAAGAATTGTCGACGGGCAGTCACCAAAGAGATCCGAACTTGCTTGCACGCTTCAACTAGCCTGTGACCCAAGGCAAAGGTAGTCCCTTGCCGTAAGTTTCGGGGAGAGCCCACTCTAGATCCATAGCCAGACCTAGCTTGGTGTGATGGGTGGTGGGGGTGCCGAAGAAGACTGAGGAGGGGAATGTGCATCGGTGAGAGGGCGTTGGAGGCGCTGGTGAACATGGGACAACCTAGGCCTAGCGAGCCAGTCCCGCCCAGTCCTAGGCACCGTGCTTGGCCCTGGACCTCACTAACCCTGGTTGCCCTTGGCGGGGTGCTAAAACTGTGAGATTGCCCAGCTCCCACTCCCATTCCGAACTGTCCTCAACGCTGCGGCCCATTCAGCGTTCGTAGCCTCTCCCACGTGGGAAGTGGTCAAGCTGGTCAAGCTGGTCAGGCTGGTCAAGCCAGTCAAGCCAGGGTCTCAAGTATCTACCAGTAGGTAGGTACTGCCTAGGGTCCTTCGCATAGGCAGTCAGATGCCCCGACACCTCGCTCACACTTCTCCTCTTTGGTGTCCAGATATAATCCATCCTCTCTCTTCTGACACCAGGTGAGTCTTAAGCATCATGCATCTCTCCCCAGCCATCTTTTGCAGAGGAATTCCTCAACCCATTGACCAGAACAGGTCCTGATCTCCGCGCCGATGCCCGACACCGTCCCTAGAGTGTGCATTATCTGCAGCGACCTTCTGCTTCTAGTGTAAGCATAAGTATCTTGTTCTACTCGTATCGCATCGTCCGAGCTCCATTCTTCCATATACATACACGTACTAGGTAATATCGGGTACAGACATATTATCATCAGGGGGGGCCACACGATACTGGAAAGACCTGAAAGAAAAATGGTCTCCGCTCTCCCCTCCAGTTTCCTAGGTAGGAAAAGGAGAAGAAGAACAAGAAGAAGAAGGAAGCGCAGCCGTATCCTCATTTTTGGTTGCGAGACTCCATCATCTGCTCGTCGAACCACTCTCCACGCTGGAGAACGTACTGTACCCATTAGGCTGTTTGGCTCGGCCTCGTCGCCTCCGAGTCTTTAGCGAGATCATCGATCGCTATCAGGCAAAGGACTAGGGCTGGACTCCGTTGTCGATGAAAGGAACAAGAGGGACGGGAAGCGTCCCCCTTGTTCCTTTGCTAGCCGACGCTAGAACTTGCAATCAGCTCGCGCCTCAGCCCACAGTCGCGCCACCACTCATCGACCATCCCACGAGCTAGCCGCAGCCCAGCCTTGACGACCCTAACTTAAATGGCGCCATACCAGTGCTTGGGTGCACGACAAACTCGGCCAAGTTCCTGGCCAAAACAACTCATGTCAAAGCGCGTGATACAATCAACAAACGTCTTCACATTGTCGGGTCTGGTTTTGAGGCTCTATCATTCAGCAGAGACGCTGAATCATGCCAAAGTATACTCCGTACTTGTAGGTCGTGATTGGGTATCCTCGTAATCGCTCATACGCTCACATAACGCGAATTCATGCATCGTTATATCTCGGTATTGCGTTCTCATCATCCCTGGAAACCGACGCCGTGACATAACAAGCCGAAAAACTTCTTTTGGTCTAGAATGACAATTAGTTGGGTTACAAGAGGATAGGTCGAGTTCCATACCGTTGTCGTCAAGGAATGTAATGTGAAGCGCCTTCAATTGTGCCAGCAAGTCGAAATTAGGTCGTAATGAAACAGTCATCGGCCGACCTGTTTTCTTGCTCTGTTCAATGTGATCGATGCAATCAACTGCCCACAAGTTAGCAACCTACATGACCGACAAGCACCACGCCTCAACGACTCGGCTGGCAGAGACGGTTGCAAGGGTCTGACAAGAGTCCAAGTTGATCAATTAACCGGAACCGCGTCCCACTTGGAAATTGGCGTGTCCTCCTCTGTCAGACAGGATGCCACCGCTACTCATCCAGCCTGGCATGATATGTTGTCGGGGGATACTTACGGGGAACAGTGATGTACCGCTTCTTTTCTTTTCGTTGTGAATTGGCAAAGAAAAGAATGATCTGCTTCCCCGTCCGCGAACGCAGGATGCGCAGATTCTGACTAATGCATTCTTCGCCTCTTCCTTTGGACTTTGCCTCTGCAATACCCGCCGTGAAGACAACTGTTTGACTGAGTAAGGCTTCCTGGAAGTGTACACAATCTGGGAACTGATCAGAATTTGAACATGGACTAGTCAGGTAGAGGGAGGGAAGCCCAAAGTATCCACGGACCTTCCCATGTTTCAAAGGTATATGAAGGTTGTGCCTGAAACAAGGTCGATGCCATCCGCACATTCTGTTCCTCAAGAAACGATACCCGAGAGATATGGCTGGTGCTTGATGTGACAGGGGTCTCGAGATGGGGAATGGGCATCTTTGTGCCAGGAACTGCCAGTCATCAGTAGGGAGTCTTCTGGGAGGTTTCGTCCCAACTAACAAGAGTGAATAAATGTGGTTTGCAGGCCCGCCGGGTCGCTCAGCTCAACCTGCTTGAGGTGACCCGCCACATCTCTGCGAAGTTGGACTTGCGAGTATTTCAACTTGAACAGTTTGCTACCCTTGCTGAAGGAGCTGTGTCATGCCAGATAGGGGTGTCAATAGGCGCTCTGCATCAAGACCAAGAAGAAACAAAAGCACGAACGAGCCCATGTTGACAGCACGAGCGCACGAGGGACGGACACATACATGTTGACCGGCTTCTTCAAAGGGACGTGAACTATCTGTTCTGACGAGCAGCTCGACTGTCGACTTCTATCACCGTGCCCCGAGAGGGCTGGAGTGGGCGGCAGATTGATATTGGTAAAGTGGACGCTGGCAGTATCTGAAGGAGTATCCAACGATGTTATACTATCTTGTCGAGGTGATTTTTGCAAGGGCCAGTCGGTCGTGTCGAGGAAGTTGGACTGGCTGGACATTGCCGCCGGTCCGGTTCCACTGACAGGGCTTTAACTGCAGTCCTCGGGCAAGGTTTTGTTCTAGAAGACTAGAAGCCAACTGCCAGTCGGAATAGGGATCGTCCAGGTAGGTAGCCAAATTATGATTAGCTCAGGACGAAGGCCGGATAGAGGAGACTCTGTACAGGACACTGCGGATTGCGGTGAACAGTCGCAGGCAGAAGAAAGTCTCAGTTGGAGCCATTATTCAGGAGTGAGATTCGAAAGCAGGCTCCAGATGGCAAAATCGGGAAGGATAAGATATCTCCTGAGAGCGAAATGAGCTCTCGAGCAGGCCGTTCTGCGGACGAGGTACTTGCCCACAGCCTGGGGACGTGGTGGACATGGTGGACATGGTGGCAGCTGGTGACGGCCATTTGTCAAAGGAGACAAGAGAAGGACGATGAGTGGGCTGCGATGGACATGGCAAACATGGCTAGGCGGAGTGGCATATGGAGAGAGCGAGGAACGTGGTTGAGTGTGTGGCCAGAAAAGCTCGACATGGGAAAAAGGGCCCAGGCTCCTCGCCCTCTCTGCCCTCTCTAGTAACAACTCCCATGCACGCCCGCTGCATGCTCGGCTGTTTTTTTGGGTGATGCACAGGTATTGTCTTGGGGCGAGTTATCTGACCATGTGTTTTGATGAGCCGTGCCTGGACACTTGCCTTGCCTGTGTACAGAGGAGGTTGAGGAGAGGCACAACGCTACGCACGTTAAACTGCCTGTGCCCAGCAAGAGTACTCGGTACGTACCCCTCGTCTCCCCTCTCTCCTCGTCCTCCTCACCTTCCTCACCCCCGGCTCACCCCCCTCTACATAGCAAGCCGGATTCAAAAAATACGGGGCACAGTGTGCACAGTCTGTCACGGAATATGTCCCTCAAGAGTGCTCCAATAACGTCAAAGCGGCTGCTATATCGAATAGAATTCACTGTGTAGGATGAATGACAGAGGGCCACTAATATTCTAAAGGTAAACAAAATACCAATTGTGATTGAAGGGCACCTTTCTATCTAATAGCGAACCACTCTAGACCGTGCCACTTGCGAGGTATCCTTCCAAAAATTTTATCCCAGTCGCCCAGCTCGCCAGGTACCTTTTTTCTCCCTTCCACTCACAAAAGGGAACCACTTTTGGGGGGGGGGGGGGGTCCACCGCTGACTGCTTAACCCGCCATGGCCCCTTGCAAACCCCCGATTCGTATTCTGACCCGTTCGAGGCAAATCGAGAGGCCAGGGGGCTATGCCGCCTTCAGCACCATCGCCGGCACGTGTAGTTCGGGAGTGGGAACCGACTTGGATGGAATACAAAGTGTGCACCACAACTACATCCATAACGAGGCAAAAGGAAACAGCGGCAGCAAGGCTCTGACCATAGTCACACTCAACGAAAGACTCCGCGACAGCTTGAAGCAGATTCAACATTTCATTCGTGTGTTTTTGTCAACAAGATAGAAAGCACGATCAGGACACCTCCTGGACATGTGAAACGGAGGAATGTAACCTCTGATGCCACGCCCCTCGGGAAGCTTGGTTTTGTTCAGGGTGAAAAAGAAACAATACCATGCTGTCCCGCCCGATCGTGCCACAGACATAAAACCTGTATGTAATAATTTGGTTTGGAAGGCCCTGAGGCGATTCTCTGTGCATCCGTTGGAGTCCCATAACCATCTGCCGACCAACAACCGACCCAAGATGCAGTTTATCAGCCGTCGTATCGAGTATTTTAATGATCGTCTTGTGGAGCGAGATATGAATTGATGCTGATCAGGAGGAGGAGGAGAAGAAGAAGTAGTAATCGATACTGATAACGTATGTGTTCCACTTCTAGCACGGTCCAGGTGCTGGTGAACTCTCGGCGAGAACCGTCTCCTTTCTGATCACCCCATCCCGAAAAGAATTTCTCTGTGCGCATTTAGTTCGCTAGCTAACGGGAACCTCGCTAGGGCGATTGTGTTGCTCGACTGATTGTTTCGAATGTTTCCAAATGTAGTCGGCCAGTTCGTCACAGGCAACCACTTGGTACTTTCCAGTTTTGGCGACCTTCAGATAAGGGTTCGATGTCTTGCTGCAGATGATACTGATGTCTTGGAGGTTTTCAATGGCTTGTCGGTCTGCATCGTCAATATCAACTGACATCTCGAGATTGCAATCCTGAGGAGAGGAGTTAGCGCAAATCTCCAAAGGATGTCCATTGTCGCTCAACTCACACATTTCCATGTCAGACGACGATGCGTCTTTGGCGGTTTGGGTCTAATCAATTGGTTGATTAGATCTTCTAGCCGGTCCCCGCTGCCAGAATCGCCTGGTGCACCAGTGGGGGAAGACTGCTTCGCGGTTTGCAGCGGGGGCGGAGCCAGGTTGTAGCCTCGTCGTTCCGGAGGTGTTGGAGGAGGTTGAAGCTTGCTCTCAGGCGAATCAGGGACAGCGGAACCAAGCGCGGCGGCAGCAAGGGCAGGGGCGATTGCTTGTCCAGCAGTGGTGCTTCCAGGCGCAGGCTGGAGCAATGGCACAGAGGGAGCACGTGGGGTACCATTGGGGCTCATAGTGTTACTGAGACGGCGAGCTTCGCGTGGGCTGTCGAGCTTGGGATAATTGCTTTCTGATTCTGGCCTTCGGGATGAGGCGCTCAGAGAGGGAGAATGCTCTGGGTCGCGAGAGATACCGTCAGAACTGGGAGCATCAGTCATGGCGACGTCTCGGTCCCTGGTCGAGTAAGGTCTTTCACTGATGGTGGGGGGCTGGTCAACAAGGACATGCCGGCCATTACCCGCGTCTTTGATGATACCCTCTTGGAGGGCCCAATTCGTCAGATCTTCATCCTCTCGTTCCTCTTTGGCTTCGACGATGTCGCGGGAGAAATGCCCTCCGACATGCTCCATGCGCTCGTTCCAGCTGCCTTCGCCTTCAAAGACCCTGCCACAGAAGCCACAGGTGCTGCGTTGAGGGGGCTTTCTCTTCTCCATCCAGCAGCGGCTGCGGACCTCTTCGAGACTGTCTTCGAAGGCTCTCCAATCCTTATCGCCGGCGTTGCCAGGCGTGATGGGGCCTGAACCTGGGCCAGTCTCGGGCTTGTGCATGCGTCGATGATGCTGCGTAAAAAGATCCTTTCGGTTGAAGTCATTATAGACGCGCTTGTGGTTGGGAACATTGCTGTTCAAGTCAGGGTTGCATGAACCGACATCGCAACGATAAAAACCCAGCTGAAGATGCTGAATTGAGACATGGCGCTTCCATTCGTTCTTGGAACTCAAAGCAACGTCGCAGCCGTAGTGGGAGAACGAGCAGATGAACTTGCGCTTTGCCGGTTCCGATCTCTTAGCTCCAGAACCAGGTGACTTTCGTGCGCGAGGCTTCACCACACGACCAGGGTGGGTATCCGAACCAGAAATCGACTGCAACGAGTCCTTTCGAGGGCGTGGTTTGATGATGCGATCTGATGGGCTTCCACGCAGAGATGCAGAGGTGATGTTGATGTTTGTATCGGTAGCCATGTTGGATGAGAAGATGGAAGCGTAACTTGTGGTGGTGGTTGTGGTGAGTGTTGGGGGTGAGAAGCGGAGTTGAGCGAGTCAACCGACGAGGCGTGGCAACAAGGCGTGAGTAGACAAGGCTTTCGGACTTGGGTCACTGTGGCGCCTCAATCGACATGGACCATCTTCTGGCTGTGTAGTCGGTGTCGAGAGAGGGGGTTGAGCCCTGACACGGTCAGGTTGGGCGATGAAATCGATCAAGGGATGGATGGACTCCAACCAGATAAACAGTCCCGCGACCGAGAAAGCTGGGATCGAATACGAGCTTGTGAAAACTGTGGCGAGAGCGCCAAGAAGACAGTGGGTGAAAGAAGGGTGCAAAAAGGGAAACGCAGACGCAGAATTTACGCGAGAGACGTCTGTTCTGACGTGAATTGCAGGAATCTGATGAAGACGCGGCGGTTGAAGAGCGCGATAAGGGCGAGCAGGAGAGAAAGAAGAGGAAAAGGTGGGAGGGTGAGAGGAATTCGAACGAAGAGGGCGAGGAGGGGATGCTGCAGCAAGTGTGCAAATGAGAGAGATAGTAGAGGGGGAGGAGGCTAGGAGGCCAGGAGGCTAGGAGGCTAGGAACAGCACAAGGCTTTAGCCTGAAATAAGGCTGCGGAGGATCCAAGGACCCTTGGGCTCACCAGGCCTGCCTTGGGGCCTGCCTTGGGTCCTCTCTGGAGGGGCTTGACTCGGGGGCTTGTCGCAATCAGCCTCAGGCATTCGGTCAGGCTCTCGGTCCAGCATCGAGTCAGGCTCCAAGGCCCAGACGCTCCCAGGTCTGTGACTGGCTGCACCTGGCCTTGGGTATGTTCCCCTCCCCGAAGCAACCTTCTTTTTCTCCTCGTGCTCCTCTCCATCTACTGTAATTCCCATCCAGAGCACCAAACAAGCACGTGTCAGTGCACCATGACCTTGACCATCGATAGCAATTGCACCATCGATCAGTCATCCTCCACCACCCGTAGCCTTCCTCGAGAAAATCCACCACACAGGCAGCCACCCTTATCATGCACAAATTTGCACAACCTGCCGAGTAATAGTGGCAAGGCCAAATGCCAGCAGGCCCTTCGAAACCAAATGGCCAGAGATCTGCCGAGGCTGCATGACAAGGTGGTGCGAAAGCCACCCAGCAAGCTAGGCCATAGCAAAGGAAAAGAGGGGGCAGCCCAACCAAAGGTGGCTCGGAAGCGTGCTGTGACAGGCTCTGACAGGACAAGGCTTTGGAGAATGGCCAGTCAGGGCGCCACTGGCTGGCCAGGCTAGAGGATGGCCATCCCACAAAAAGATATTGCCTCCGAGAAGGCTAACAAGGAGACCAATGGTGATGGCAAACGGTCTCATTGCCCCCCCCTTACAAGAGGACGAACCAGCCCATCAGCCCATCAGCCCATCAGCACCAAATGCTACCAAAAGAGATACGAAGATTAAGGGATTCGAGTCGGCCATCCCTCAATCACAGGCTACCACTCGACCTTCCGAAAAGTGCTGGCCACCACTCACCGTTGCATCTCGCGTTTGCCTCATTACCACCATGTGGTCAGTGATGCTCCATGCTCCGTTTGGAGCCGCCGAGGAGCGAATCTTTTTCGGATTACGATGTGGCCGCGCAAAGTGTACTTATGATCCAATGTCTTCCAACGTCTCTGGCTTTTGCTCAGCCTGGTCTCTTGACGTGTCGCCCCCAGGCTTCAGCCCGGACGAGGCTCGAAGCCTTGCCCCAAACCCGACCACCAAGGCTGATTGCGGGCCTCACGACCCCAACATGGGGACTGAGTAGTCCTTCTTGACACGAGACTCTCAGTGCCGATGTGCTGCGTGTGAGTTGGTCAGACTCGACCATCTTACCCCGGCCGATGGGGCCCCTTTCAAGACTTTGTGTGGGTTTATCGGTATTAATGCACCGATCAGTCTGTTAACACTCGACGCAGGACATTCATCATGGCTTTTCCAACCGTACTCCGTACGTCTGGCAAAACGCGTGATTGCGACGAATAATTCTAGCCGCGTCTTGGACAACATCTGGAGGCGCCGAGCAGCGTTCCCTGGCCACCCTGATAGCGGCATCCCCAGCCACATGTCGGAACCCATTACGAGGTACCCAGTAGACCTGTCGCACCTTCCCTTTCCGAACCCGGAACCTGGAATGGATTTCGCGTTATCGGGGAGTCAAGGAGCCACAGCTGCAACCACCGTCACAGTCACAGCATTTTAACCACTCTGGGTTCCACCAGCAGCCCGGCGCTCGAAATTGGATCTTTGCCCAAGCTGATACGGAACTGCTCTACAGTACCTTCGTACCCTGCCGGCGGGAGATTGCCGCCCCAGTGCCCCCTCGCCCCCCAGGTCCTCTCTTTTAATTCTTTCGTTCACCCTTCCTGCACTGGGGCTAGCCTTACCCCGCACTGCGCCGCGCACAGACCCCTTCGACCTTTTGCGGCCGCCTTCAGACTTTTCATCTTTTGACTCGTGGGAATTTGGCGGCCTCCGAAGCGAATGTCCCACTGATGCGCGGAAATTCGGTTGGAGGTCACGTTGCATGCGCTAAGCGAAAATTTTGCTGGCAACGCTGGCACTCCCCGGAAAATTATTTCTTCCTTCTCCGCATTTCCACGGACCGTCGGCAGGGCAAGGCAGGGCTGCGGTTCAGCCTTTTTGCAAAATTCTCTGACCTTCTCCGCCTGTTCTTTTCTCCTACGTAACTCATTCCTCCTTCGACCATTCCATGACACATAGTTGATTCTTTCCTGGCTACAACATCCAATCTTTTTTATGTCTTCTGACACTCGCCTTGGAAGTTTCAGCACTTCCAGAATTTTTCAGGTGCTCGTGATCATGAAAGAATTGATGCAATGCCCAAGTTTACCAACAACTGATGTCACTCCCTATGCTGTCGCATGAGGCGATGCAGAGCCACAGGGCGTGCGTGTTGACTTTTCACCAATCGTACCACTGAGATCCCTTTCTGCTCGCTTGATCAAGCTGAAAATTTTCCCTCCTTGACGTTCTAACATGGATCCCCTCTACCCCGGATTTCGTGTTATAAAAGCCCCTGGTCTCCATTGGAACTTGGGGCTGGTCAACCACGCAGAACAAGCATTGACACAAGCATTCCACAGTACCTGCACCTGAAAGTATAATCTCGCATACAGATCTCAGTCCATACTCGATATCTCGAATCTTGAAAAGCAACAAGACAAGCCAAACTTCTTGTCACAGTTACAAAGCTTCAGCGACCAGCGCTCGACAACTCGAGCCTCCTCATTGCACCACCACTACTCCTTGAGACTGCATACTTTTTTGTTGTTTTTGAACAACAGCAACAATGTCCTCCACCGGCCGTTCATCTGTCTCCTCAAACGCTTCTGCATCCTCCATCCCTGAACCCTCACCTCGCCAAGTCTCGTCAATCTGCTACCCCAAGGGCAAATGGTACGACTGCCTTCGTCCAACTACCACTCCATACGCAGGATTTGGCAACATGACCAACTTCGCCAGCATGTCCGGCAAGGAATCTTCTGAGGAGGCTGGAGAGAGCTGGACGAGGGAAGTGTACGGCAAGATGAAGTGAGCCCTCTGGTCAACGAAGGAATGGACTTTTGTGGACGACTCTAGAAATGTGAGAGTCGTACGGACTACGAATAGTTACTGGAAGTGCAATTGCGACTTGTAGCTTCAGATGGTGCTGGGACACGAAACCCGTGACGACGCCTTTTCGTTAGGCATCCCACGGCATAGGCTTTGGTATTGGTCCTCATGCGTGGTCTTGCGAAGGGACTTTCATTTGTTTCATTGATTGGCATTTGAGCGACAGGGGAGTCGCCTTTCACTGGGTACTCTCTGGCGTTGATAGGAAAAAGGTCTTCTTCACGAACGGGTTCGTCTGTCCCTTCCATGACGCGTTCTGTCTGCAAGCGCTGGGCGTTCATGAGCATGCACGGAATCGGGGATACCCAGGCAATCGAGTTTAGCCAGTCCGGCCAGTCTACATAAGCGATCCACGCTGAATTTGCAGCCAATTATTACCTAATCAAGCAAACTTCGAGACGATTCTCGGTTGGAATGGGGCGCCAATGCTTTGAAAATCTTGTCCCTTTACGATGATTTCTTTCGCCATGTGCCTTTTGCACAATCCATTGTTGCGAGTACTGTATATTCCACGGACATTGACCTGTGAGGGACTAAAATGACATCACTCACGGCATTTCGCCACCATCGCCACCACCCGCACCTGTAGCCCGATCAGCGTCGTCCTGAGCCACGCCGTTGGTCCCATTCTTGATCTCTTCCGTCTTGTTAATAGAGGTCGAGGCCGGCTCAGCCATATCCGTCATTTCCGCGTCTTCGGTTTTCGAGGTCGTGTTTTCTTCTGGCATATCTCGTCCTGGCTGTTGCGTCGGTTGCGAGATCTCGGGCACTGTCGTATCGAACTTTGTCTCTCCTTCGTCTTGCGTTTCTGCTTGCGCAGTGTCATCGCCATCTGTTTTCCGCTCCGCAGTCCTGCTTTCGTTGCCTTCGGCCTTGTCTTTGTCCTTGTCGTCTTCCGCCTCCGCTTCGACCTCCCCACCTTTCTCCCCATGGTCTTCGAGTGTATCCGCCCCCAGCAGAGCCTTCAAGTCGCCACCATACTGCACCTTCTCGCACATGACGAACCGATTTTTGCTGGCCCGCAAGGCTCTCCACACCTTTCCCGCCTTCTTCTCCTCGATCTCTTTCTTTTCTTCCTCCGTCATCGCGAAGTCCATGTCTAGGTCATCCCTCTCGATGCCTCTGTAGTATTCCTCTAGACTTGGTACTTGATGACGTTTGGAAGGATGCTTGAGAGCTTCGAGGGGTTCAATTTTCGAGAGGAACGCGAGATCGGTTGCTCCAGGTGGGTTCACTAGGGGTGCTCGCGCGGAATCGGCAAGTTTCGTGAGTGTGTCACGCGATTCGATATAGATTTGCGGCGACACACCGTCGCGCGAGATTGACGGACAGTTCTCAGCCTTCCACCGCACCCAGTTTTTGTCTCTTGACAAGATCGTGTCGACCATGCGGTAGTAAAATTTCCCCTCATTGCCGTTTCCGCCTTGTTGTAAGTAGGCTGCGATCTGAGAGCGAGTAGATTGTGCCCATTTAGTATCTTCTTCTGAGAGGATGTAGGAGTACAACACAGATTTATTTGTAAGTCCTTCGAATTTCGCTTTCGCAATCGGCGAGAGGCTCAGCAGGAAGTCGATCATGATCAGAGCTTGTACTAGGATGTGTCTGCGGAAGGCAATGTCGTGGATTTCAAGATCGAATAGGTCTCTGTTAGTTAGGTATTTAGGGTTGAATGTCGAAGTCGAGTTGGACGTCGTGTCAACATCGTTGCGTTTGCGCTTAAGACTGCGTTTCACATCGGTCGGGTTTGTAGACGGAGCAGAGCTATTGGAGACTGATTTGAAGCAGGAGAGGGTCTGAGCGATGCCGTCTTTGAACGCAGCCATATTGGAGGAATCGAAGAGCTTCGTTGGGGAGGAAAAGAAAGATTGGAGAGACCAGAATTTGGGATATAGAGCGTCGAGGTCGGGAGGCTGTTCTTTGGGCTCTGATTTGGCAGTCTTAGGGATTGGCGTACCTCTTGCTGCCTTCTCATGATCTTGAGCCTGGCCACTTGAAGCAGGCGTGTCGGCTCCAGAGGTCGCTTGGGGCGTTCCGGTGTCGAGTTCCATGGGCTTGATGGCATCTTCTGACTTGACGGGGGTCGGGTCGAAGGTAGTAATATTCTCCACATGAAACTCTCCACGCAAGTTGACCGAGCTCTTGTCACCTAGAGGGAAGCTCTGGAAGAGGAAGATGAAGACGCGACCGCAAAATACGGTGTCCTCAGCCCGTGACAGCCTCCTGAGCAACTCATTGCAGCATCTGAGAATGACCAGGTTCTTCTGTTTGAAATGTTTCGCCGTCATCCTTTCCCTGCGCGATTCAAGGTAATCAAAAACCTTTCTGCAGCCTTCAATAGTCTGACTGTCCAGCAGCTCCTCGACGAGCCAAAAGCCGAGACCTGGTTCGCATAATTCGTTGTCGGATAAAATGTTGATTACGTCAAGGAGGACCCAGACTTGGGCGAATGCTGGCTCGGAGATGTCAACTGATGCCACGATGTCGACAACAATGTCGCGACAGACTGTTTCGACTGCGGCATTGTGTATCTGAAGCGCTTCCGGAACGGTATCGGCGCGAATTGTTCTGATTTGGTCGACCAGCTCCGCGCAGTCGGTCTCGAGGACGGGGGAATCGATGTCACCATCCTCTCGCGCTCCGGTAAGATTTTGGATACATGACTCGATCAACGGTTTGTAGGTTGCGACGCAGGGAACGGTTGTGGCCGCCATGCCGTAGCGGAGCCAAGGGACGAGGGACGAGGGTGGTGGTAAGAATGGATGCTGTTGTTCGCTTACATCGAGGACAATCCTCGCAGACCCTGACAACAGCGGAGGGGGCAGGTCTATCCACTAGAAAGACATCACGATAGCAGTGAGAATGTAGGTATTGTTGTTTACCGTTGCGAGCCAAGGAAGATGTGACCTGAGGCTCTGCGGAGAAATTTAATTTTCTTGAAACGCAGTTACATACCTGCCAACTCCGCAGATGTCGCAGTTAAAATTTGGCCTCGCCATTCTTTTCGTCCCCGTTACCCGCATGTTGTCACGTTAAATGGGACTTCAACTACGGCCGGCGATGGCTCCAGCCCTCGATGTGCAAGCCGACGTTAGCATCCAACGCGAAGAGAGTGTCAATCCGTGGGAAGAGCTGGCTAGAAAACACTGGTGGGACAAGAATATTACACCTACAAAGGTCAAACCAGAAGTGATCAAGGCAACAATTTGGGATCCTCTCGAACAAGACTCGTTTCCCTGGCCCTCTCTCGCCATTCTTGAGAACTACCAGATTCTGGAGAGATTTCTCTGGCCGACATTCTCATCAGACTCTTCCAACCACCATGTCTTGCTCATTGCAATCTTCTTCAATGTGAAGCAACGGGCTCGTCTCCACGACTGGTCCTTGTTCAGCAATCGCCCAGCAGAATTTTCGAGCCTATTTCGTCGAATACTCTCCTTGAACCTCGACTCCTCGCTCTCTATATTTTCCCGCTTGTCTCTCCTCCATTTCGTGCTCGGCGCATTTCAGTCTCTGGAAAATGATCAGGTCCGCAAAGAGTGCGCACCGCTTGTGTCAATCGCAACATGGCAAAATATACATGATGACAAGACAAGAGAGAGGCTTTTGGAGGCAAACCCAGCAAGGAGAAAGGCATGGAGAGCCTCCGCGCGAAAATATGGTGTCGCAGATGCAGAAACTCAAACTCGTTTGCGGTTCGATCGAGCATGGCTGTATACAATGTCGATTGATTTCATCGCAAGGCTCAACGCATCCAAGTTGACCCATTCTCAGGAAATGGTCTACTGTGAACGCTTTCTTGAATTCCTGATCGACCTGATAAGTCAGTTACCCACCAGACGATACACGAATCCTCTGTTGAAAGACCTCAACATTATACCCATAATCCGAACATCAAAGCTGTATGAAAGAGAGGATGCTGTCCTTCTGCATGATTTGACCGTCCTTCTCGAACATTTCCAGACTTTTGCGATTGATGAATTGGGAGGCACTGAAGGAAATCATGATGACATGCGCAAAGCCCATTATCAAGCATTGGAGAGGCTGCAGCGAGTGGCACTCCAGCATTTTGAAGACAAACTGAAAGTTCTTGCACTGTCAAACTTTGGATCGATCGACAAAAGAAGCGAGCTAGAGTCTCACTTTGCTGCGTTGACGGACTCTGAACTGCAGGAACTATGTGCACAGCTTGGGCTCCGAACTAGCTATCCTCCGTCTGCCGGAATCGCTGCGACCCGTGCAATTATGATGGAGACCCTCTTGACATCCTTCTCCAGGCCTCGAGATTTCCGCGAGGCTGTGAGCCAGTTGGCAGTCCTACCCACAGCCGACTCGCTGTATGACCCAGCCTTGCTGGGGATCGAGCTTTATGACGGTTTTCGGCCGCTTGGAATTCCCAAATTGAACCTGCAATATCTCACCCTCAGCGACTTCATGTGGCGTTCATTCCAGCTCTATCAGGCCGAAGCTTACTATGGTATAAGGAAGGACATGGAAAGCGTTGTGAAGCGGATGAAGCCGAAAGTTGGGCGAGATCGAAGCACCATAGTATTCGAAGGGTCTTCGAAGATGGCTCTACCGATTGGAGAGCCTGCAGTCATTGAAGCCGGTCCTCCAAAAGTTGGTCACGTCAAGCCTAGTTTCGTACGGGCGGAAGTGATTTTGGATGTCAGCCGCCTTACGGACGGTATCAGAAGAGAATGGGACAATCTCAAACCCCGTGACGTTGTATTCCTACTGGCAGTGAAGGCCACCGACGATCCTCGACTTCTTACCAATGGTCATTCCGGCAGTCAAAGTGAACAAAGAATGTTCACCAGTCTAAGAACCGCTGAGGTTGTCCAAGTCCTGGACGACAATGGGCGAGCTCTCAGAGATACACAAACAAATGGATACACCTCAAGGCCTCGACGGAGACGTCTCTTGCTTGACTTGGACGCAAATTCCTACGCTGTCGACAATCTAAAGTCAGGCCGAATTGCGTCGGACACCGCATCCCTGAACATTATCGCTCGCCGACAAGGACGGGAAAACAACTTCAAGCCTGTTCTGGAGACAATCCAAGCTCTGGTCTCTTCAGGGACTGTGCTTCCATCATGGCTGCAAGAAGTGTACCTAGGCTATGGTGACCCACTAAGTGCTTCATTCCCGTCCCTTTCAAATCACATTGACTCCATAGACTACCTGGATACGTTCCTTGATTGGCAGCACCTGTTGGACAGCTTCCCAGGGAAGACTGTCGAAACTGGAGCTGGTCAGTCCGCTCCCCTCAATCCACCTTACGTCCTTCAACGTGCTACGAACGCTTTAGACGAGCCCCCAACAAACCCGAAGAAGAGACGTCGCGATCAGATGGAGCAAGACTCATCCACTGTCAAGGTTCTGACCTACAAATCCCGCAACACTGGACCATACCCGATGGACATCCCTCGGAAGAACTCGGTCCGCTTCACACCGAAGCAAGTGGAAGCCATCATATCGGGGACGCAGCCTGGTCTTACTGTTGTGGTTGGACCCCCAGGAACGGGCAAGACTGATGTCGCAACGCAAACCATCAACTTGCTCTACCACAACTTTCCGTCACAACGCATCTTGCTTGTTGCTCATAGCAATCAAGCGCTCAATCAGCTTTTCCAAAAGATTATCGCTCTTGATATTGACCCTCGCCACCTGTTACGGTTGGGTCATGGAGAAGAAGAGCTTGACACGGAGGAGTCATACGGTAAATATGGTCGAGTTGAGTCTTTCCTGGAGAATCGTCAATCGTATCTGTTCGAAGTCAGCCGTCTTGCCGCTTCCATTGGCGCTGAAGGTGCACACGGCGCTTCATGCGAGACGGCAGATTATTTCAATCAGGTCTTCATTAGACCGGCCTGGCAACGATTCTGGGATGCTGTCAATGCAGAAAAGGCCACCTTCGAATCTGTACTCAATGCTTTTCCATTTTACAAATACTTTAGCAACGCCCCCGTCGCAACGCTGTTTCCTCCCGACTCCACGATGGAAGAAGCGCGGGAGGTCGCATCTGGCTGTCAGTATCATATTGACAAAATCTTCTCAGAGCTAGAGTCAATTCGGCCTTTTGAAATCCTGCGCAATGGCCGCGACCAAGCGAATCACCTCTTGGTAAACGAGGCACGGATCATTGCCATGACATCAACGCACGCCGCCATGAGGAGATCCGAAATAGTTGAATTGGGCTTTCACTATGATACTTTAATCATGGAAGAAGCAGCACAAATAACCGAAATTGAAACCTTTATCCCATGCGTGATGCAAGAGCCGGACCCTAAGACGGGCGAACTGCCCCTGAAACGAATCATCCTCATAGGAGATCATCTGCAGAATTCTCCCATTATCCAAAACCTGGCTTTACGCCAATACGCCAACTTCGAACAATCCCTTTTTCTACGTCTCGTCCGCCTAGGCGTCCCGACCATCCATCTCGACCAACAAGGGCGCTGTCGCCCTTCAATCGCCAACCTCTTTAAATGGCGCTACAACCACCTGGGCAACTTGCCTCACCTCGTCTCGCAGCCGGAATTTTCACGCGCCAATGCTGGCTTCCGCTACGAATACCAATTCATCGATGTCCCCGACTACCAAGGGGCTGGTGAGCGTGAACCAACGCCTCATTTCATCCAAAATCTGGGCGAGGCTGAGTATGCTGTAGCCTTGTACCAGTACATGCGCCTCCTGGGCTATCCGTCACGCAGCATCTCGATCCTCGCGACATATTCTGGCCAGAGGGCGTTGATCCGTGACGTGCTGGAGCACAGGTGCAAAAACAACCCGCTCTTCAGCATGCCGAGGACAGTGACGACGGTCGACAAGTACCAAGGTGAGCAGAATGACTACGTCATCGTCAGCATGACGAGGACCCGCTCAGTGGGATATCTCAGAGACATCAGGAGATTAACGGTCGCGCTGTCGCGTGCAAGGTTTGGATTGTACATCATCGGCAGGAAGGAGCTGTTCGCAAGCTGCTTTGAGATGAAGCCTGCTATGGACATCTTACTGCAGAGACCGACTAAGTTAGTTGTCACCACCGGGGAGATGTTCCCCACAGCTCGTTTGCTTGAGGACGAGGTGGAAAGTACGTCAGAAATGGAAGGAGTGGAGCACCTCGGTCAATACGTCTATGAAATGACCCAGGCAAAGGTCAAGGCGTTGGGAGGACAGGTTAACGTCCAGATGGAGGCGGATAGTCAAGGTGGCTATGGAGCTGAGGAGGCGGAGGAACTTGGCGTTGATGCGGGTGAGGAGGATCCGTTGCATGAGGTCGTCTGAATCCATTAAGTCCGCCACCCTATAAATGCAACACGCGTTTTCGCCCGACCAACGCGTCGACTCTCAACCTTTCAGCCACTCATCCCCTCAACCACCACCTCGCCAAATCGCTCAAATGGACGCCAATCGAGAGGCTAGAATGCTATCGGCCATCGACGACTATCAATCACATCGATATCCCTCTATTCGGTCTGCCGCCGCGGCGAACGATGTTGACCATTCTACCTTGAACCGTAGGCTCAAAGGCACCACTTCATCGAGACCTTTGTCACATTAATCGCGACGATCACTGTCGAATACACAAGAGATGCTATTAAAGAGATGAATTCGTGATCTCGAGACAATAGGACACCCTCCGACCTTCTCTGTGGTGCGAGAATTAGCCCGCCTTGTTCGTAAGACATCTAGCGGCGTCCGAGGTAGGTTTATACCTTCTGTATCGCCTATAATGTCTAGCTTTGTACAAATTAGCAGTGATAGAGGCTCTGGCATGCCAACCTCTACAGAAGTCATGCCTTTTGGCCTATAGACAGAGTACAGTGTTGAAACCTGAACAGGGGATGGGCGAATGCCAAGAAAATACTCAGCCAAGTTGACAGCACATGGGATACAAGCTGGTTCTAATACACTTTTCCGTCTCATTTCCCACGAACATGCCAACGCGACGACACGCGGAAGTGCGTACTATATCTCACTGAAACCGCGGCAAGCCCAAAAATGCTTCGCTGAGGATGGTGCGAGGGTCGAGGAATGTGGCTGACAGTGCACTTCCGAGTTGAGAAGATCTCACTCCTGCGGATGTGGCGCTAGCCCCAGCCTTGCCGCTGCCATTTGGCGGAGGCGGTGCACCTTCCTTCTGTCAGAGTTCCACGTGAGTCACAGACATCACTTGTGAATACAAATACAAACAAGCAACTGTAGTTGGTGAGCCTCCTGTTAAGAAGACCTTCCTTCACTTCCCCCTCGATTTTCATTCTCAAACCTTTTAACTTTGTTGGTGAAGAGAGTCTACCAGAACCTCTGAGACGCCCAGCATCGCGCCACGTTGTCCATACAACAGATATTACCTATTCTTTACTGTACATTTCTGCTACGTACGTCAAGATGGGCGGCTCCGTTTTCAGCGCCGATGGCCTGTACACGCCACGGATGCCCCCAAAAGTCTACGAGTCGGTTCTCTCCCGTACCCAGGAGCTCCTCAGGGCACACTTCAAGCTCGTCGGCCATGCCCTCGAAGCACCTGCTAAGACGTCCCACGGAGATATCGATATCATTGTGGCAGAGCCGATGGATCGAACGGTGACTTCTGAGCATCGAGTCGGGGATTTTCTGGCGAAGCTGCTGGGGGCGGAAAAGTGGAAGAAAATGGCCGGGAATTCGACGTGTAGTCTTGCGCTAAGATGGCCCAAGGAATTCGAAGACCAATTTGTAACGGAGGGTGACCTGAGCGGAGGTTCACACGGTGGTGAACTTGGGGAAGGAGAATTGGATGGTCATCTATCCGATCAAGAGGAGAGAACGAAGACCCCCATGAAAGAGAACGCCAACCCCAGCCAAACCGCTCCGGATCGAGCCGCTACCTCTTCCACCACCATTTACCCTTCCACGTCCTCATCCTTACCCACGCCCCTTAATCCGATATCGAAGCATATCCAATTGGACATCACCATCACGCCTACTCCCGCCTACTTCCACTGGCACATGTTCTTGCGAGCGCACGGTGACTTCTGGCAAATGCTTGGGATGATCGTCCGTCGATTCGGCCTTACTCCTGCTTCCAAAGGACTCTGTCTGCGGATAGCAGAAGTCGAAAAGCATAACAAGGAACAAGCAAGGGTCCTAATGACCAGCGATCCAGATACAGTCTTGGACTATTTGGGTTTGGATAAAGAAAGGTATTGGCGGATGTTTGGGAGTCTGGACGAGATGATGGACTATCTGTCAAGTTGTAGGTTTCATGATCCGGGTCGCTGGAGAGATCGGACCAAACATGTCGAGGAAGGAGAAGAGGCGGAAACCACAGAAGGTTCCGTTACAAGCCGTGCGCTTCTGAAGGCAAATGACCGTCAGCGTGTTGCCAAACGACCGGTTTTCGCGTACTGGTTTGAAACCTACCTTCCTGCTCACATCGACGACCCCCCGGGCAAATCTGCGTTGCTGACGCGAGAAGACGTCGTCGAGGACGCGAAGAAGTCCTTTGGTGCCGATTTTGCAACCCGATTTGAAGAGAGGAAGAGAAAAATGGTCCGCCAGATCCAGGTGGACATGCTTTGGGCTCAGATCAGGAAGAACCTGCCGATAGAAGGTCCTGAGATCGGGTATGTCATGAAAGGGATGAAGAGAGAGATTGTAGGGAAGCGTGAAGAGCAACCCCCGGGGCTCGAGAAGCTTAAAGGAACAGATGAGGTCAGAATGGCGTACCAAGCCGGCAGATTTGACGAGGTCTTGGAGTGGGCAGCGGCCAAGTGGAGCGAGGTCGGACAGAGACAGAAGAAGCTGGAACAAGAAAACAGCCGGGTCCATCTCTTGGAGAAGGTCAAGCGCGATGGGCAGCAAGAGAAAGGGAGGAAGAAGGCGACGCAGAAAGAAGTGGCTGCCGGATAGACTTCAGGGAATGCACCACTGGCCATAGCGAATTGCCGTTGGAGACTGTAGCTGCCGTCCCTCCTAAGTACAGTATGTGAGGCCCAGCAGCGATATTATCAATGGTATGAATCAATTTCAAGTATTTGGGTATCTTTTGGACTCTCATCACCATATAAGTCCGCCGGCCTAGCCCTCTTACGAGGTCTCCTTGTCCTTGCTGCCGCCTCTGTCTTCTGACTATTCACGTTGATCACGGGGCTTAGATACTAACACCTTATATCTCATTCATACCCTCACCATGGAAAATCAAAGACGTCGTAAATTTAAGCGCCTGACGGAAATATCGGGGCCCTTGGACTCTCAGCGTTGTCGATCCACATCACCAAGTTCGAATGGTCTGCTCGTCCTATATGTGCCATTGAGATGGGACACTATGGTATTGCTGATCCTTACCAGCAATCGAATGAATATCATAAAGATTACCTTGTTTGCTTGTGGGAGATTACAAAAAGAGAGATCATCGGCCACTAGTAATGGAATGACCTTGTTGCGTGAGAGAATTCGTATCAGGAGATTATCATACCCGCTTTTAGCCGGGTTGATGAGGAAGCGGTGGAGGTGGACAGCTTATCGAGCCTCTTTACCAGGCTTTCTCGTAGGTCCATGGTCTCAACTAAGCTGGCAAGGCTGACTGAGGAGTTTAAATCACAGCCAATGCCTCCGGCCTAACTAATTTCTTCGGCCGTTGAGACTCATCAAGCGAAGAAATTGGTCTGTCACTTCGATGATGAATACGATGATTCCGATAGCGTTCTCCTGGACCAGGGCAAATGTGTATATAAACAAGAAAGAACGCGCTGAACAGCGAGATAGAGGGAGATCTCGGAAGCGGGACCAATGCTCTCAACCATTTGATACTCACCGCATCACAGCTATTGAATAGAAGGACTCCCTTTTCTAGGTCCTTCCTTCCTGACTCCCCGTAAGACATTGCCCAAAGGACGTAATTCTAATGTTGAGGAAGATATATCCATTTGTTGTTTTTGATTGCGGATGCTCTAGATGTGGAGGTGTGTGTATACATATCCGTCTCGCCGTGTCTTGGCGGCGACGGACAATGCTCTAGCTTAGTCATTATCACGTGAATGCGTCCCCGCTCGCCCGTCCTAGCTGATTACTAATGCATCTTAGCGCGAGGTTATCCAAAACCTGATCAGGCGAGCAGGGTGCAATTCCCAGGGCTGTTACAATACACGTGATTATCACGCAGTACGCACACGGCTTGTCCGTCGCTTCGATTGAGCTCACGCAAAAACAACAGCGAACAACCAACACAATAACTCTCAGAATACACAAACCGGAGCACAATACAGCCTTCTCAAGAACATCATCCTCTTTGTCTATCCATGCTCCTACTCTCCCCTTCGATCGCCGCACCCTGGGGACAGTGAACTACTTAGAGACGAGGCGCTAACTACGACAAGGGCTTGCTGAAACTTCAGACTCGGGATGGCAGAGCATATGATTGGTGGAAGAGGGCAAACGCCGACAGCCAACCATTCTTGTTGAGCTGGACTCTCATACTCGTTCGTTTCGACTTGTTTCATCTTGCCTACCCCCTGGGCTATGAACAGCCTCGATTCGTCTATCTATAAATATATGTATGAGATCAGATACACTGAATTCAAGACAGAGTAATTACTGAGCCCGCGTCCTCTCAAGGCTTTTGTACAAGCCCTGCAAAGTCTGACAGAAACTCTGCTCTCCCTGGCCCCTGTTTCTGATCCTCCTAGCTTATCACTCCCGGCTCGTCACCTTGGTTACGGGATCTTAACTACAGCATTCTACGTAATGAACATCCTGCTTTTGACTCACCATGGCAAAGTACGCATATCAACCCCTAACCGGCAAGCCAGGTGCTAGGTCCATCAGACTGATCGAGCTTCAACCGGGTGTCGACAACGACCCTATCAAGTGCAACATCACCCATGCGTCTCTAGACGACAATCCAGAATACTGCGCCATCTCCTACTGCTGGGGCGACGCCTCTGACCCGGTATCCATATCCTGCAACCCAGAAGGTAACACGCTAGCTATCACTAAGAACCTCAATGAAGCCTTGCGCAACTTCCGCTACCCGTACGCCTCGCAGCTCCTATGGGCGGATTCGATCTGCATCAACCAAGCAGACCTCGACGAGCGGCGAGATCAAGTGATGCTGATGGGCGACATCTACCGCTCAGCACAGCGGGTGCAGATCTGGCTGGGCTTGCCACCCGAGAAGCCCAAACGCAAACCCGACATCCGGCTCTTCGACTTCATCTCTCAAATCGCCTATGCAGACAGCGAGGTGCCCTTCGACGCGCCACCCGTCGTCCGAATGGTATTGTCGCTTCGCTCGCTGAACAAAGAGCACTTCGAGGCCATGGAATGGGTTACCAGCCGCGAATACTTCCGTCGCGCTTGGATCCTGCAGGAGGTTGCTCTAGCTCAGTGTCCGCTCCTCTACTGTGGCTCTGACAGCCTGCCCTGGGATACATTTATGGAGGCTTTTGGACTTCTCATGGACGCTGGTGTCGCACACTTGGTTGCGCCCTTGGGCACCGAGTTTGCGCTGGCGATTGAGTCGACGCGCGAAACCGTCACCAGTGTGGAAGAGGGTGGGAAGGAGGAGACGGGGGAGGGGAAGGAGAAGCGGGAGTCAATGCTGAGTTTGCTGGTGCTCCATCGCTGGCGGCTGGCTACTGACCCCAGAGACAAGATCTACTCACTACTCGGCCTAGCAAAAGACAGTGGGCCTGCAGGGCTGAATTTGCGTCCTGACTATAGCCTTAGTATCGCCGCCGCGTATGAACGCTTAGCCCGAACCCTATTGGATGCCAATGGGAATCTGGACGTCATAACCGTCGCGGGTATACCTAGGGAGCAGCCTGGTGCCCCTGATGGCCTTCCTTCGTGGGTGCCTGACTGGTCTAGCACCGAACGCCGTTCGCCATTCGCTCTTCGTGGACGGTTCCTTGGCATCGAAAAGTCGGCCTTTCGCGCCGCTGGCGATTCTACCTGGACAACGGCTTCTGCAGAGGCTACTACAGGTGTTTCTACGGCTATAGGAGGACAACTCGGTGTTCAAGCACAAATCTTGGACACCATCGGTGAACTGGGCCGCGCCATGCGCCCAGAGTTCGGCGTCACGGAATACTCGCCTAGCTACACGAAGCTTCTGGATTCGCTTTACTATGAGGACACGATTTTTGGCGAGTGGGAGAAACTCTGTGGTGCGAGACTAACTGGCAAGACTTACGCTGCCACAGGCGAGCCACTCTTCGATGCGTACTGGCAGACGCTTATCGCGGGGTACCTCGAAGATCCCCACGACGGCGACGAGAACCACGTTAAACTTAGTAAAAGAGGTTCGGCGTTCGACGCCAAAAAGCGCCAGTTCCTTGCATTCGATCGATACAAGCGCAAAGCGCGCACCCTCGCCCGCATCAAACACAAGCTCGCCACCGGCAAGGTGGCGTTCTTTTCCAAACCGGCCAGGTTGTGTCTCGCTCTCACTCTCATCTTGGCCATGATCTTCTTTGCTCCTAAGTCTGCCCCTGCCACCGTCAACACCGGCACCGCTGGCAGCATTAGGTTCAGACTCCCGGATCAGACCGAGACGCGCGACATTGCTAACGACATTGCTCTCGCGTCTGCAAACAGGCGCTTCGTTGTGTCTAAGGGGAGGAACCTCATCGGTATGGTGCCCGCCTCCGCCCAGCTTGGGGACCGTATTTGCTTGCTGAAGGGCTGTAGTGTGCCGTTATTGTTGCGGCCTTGCAGTGGAGATGGTGGCGATCAGAAGCAGTGGAAATTAGTTGGAGAGTGCTACTTCCATGGTGTTATGAACGGGGAGCTGTACAATGAAGCAAAATGTGAGCCAATATGGCTATCTTGATACATGGGTATAGACATGTAGCCGCTATTAGTGTATCTAGAGTGGATTTCTTAAACATACTGTAACAGAGCACTTCAGGGTTCGGCATGCACGTGCAACAACGCACAGAGGCCTGTCCAGCAGATCGGGAATCGAGAACGCGTTTCTGGTTAATACTGACAAGACAACAACACCACCAACACCACCCAGAAGGGCAGCGGCTAGGGCTACGGACACCTTAGCACAGCAGGAGCATCGAGGAACAGGACAGAACTGATAAAACGCTCAGGAATTAGGTAGGTGGCGCCAAAAAGCCATAGAATTCATGGTACTCTGCTCAAACTGTAAAGAATGGCACACTGCCAGCACTGTAAACTGTTCCGCACCCTCTCTCTCTCTGCCAGCCCATTTTGGTTTAACAGGTGACTAGACAACTTTTTCTCCCTGCCACCGCTCTACCAGCCCAGCCCAGCCCATCACAGCACAGCCACTTTGCCTTGTTACAATACCTAGATTGGGAAGGCGATAGTTCAATACTACATCTTAATAATAATATTATGCCAATAATATATATTATTCTATTCATTAGGCTAACGTTGGGATTTCTTGGCAAGTAGGCAGAGTCAAGTGATAAGTGTATATAGATACCCCTATAGTATATGGTTAATACTGTACACGACTCTAAGCATAAGAGAGAGAGGAGAAGAAGAAGAAATGCGCCTCTCATGCCGGGAGTATGCTAGTAATAAGAGAGGTCTTCCCGAGTTGTGAAACCTCTTGGCTGATGGTCTGATATCTTCGCCCAAGCTTCGCCATAGCGTTGATGGGTTGATCGTGAGTCGGATGTTTAGTCGAATCCGTAACAGCTATGTCGTAATCAGCGCGTAAGGTATGAGTAGTTAAGTTACCACGAACGGTATAGTTCAGTAGATAGTATAAGTTGGCTACGAAGAGAGTGCAACTATGAGAGGGAAGGAAACGTAGCTGTACTTATGAGGGCCTTCCGAAGTCAGTCAGTCTACTAGCATACCAACATATCATCATACCAACATCTTCCTTTCCTGGACATTACGTGACCTTTTCCACCTAGCGGCCGTATGTAGGACTGTGTTTAATAATCGATGTAGCCTGGAAGGCTGCTTTTATAGCCATAATTACTGGCGTCTTGACATATTTCGCAGTGTGTTCGGAAGCCGGATTGCGGCCCCCGACTGGGCTGAGGATTGCCCTAGTCTGACAGCGTTTTCTCCCAAGTTCTGCTGTTGGATTGCACTCTGCTGTCAGGTAGAGGTTTTTCGTCTGTCTTGGCGCGCCGGGAGAGGCGGCGGGCTGGGCATCTCAGTGGACAGTTGCTGTTCGATAGGGGAAAGCTTCAAACCTTAAAAAACTATGTGTCAACGTCATCATCACATTGTCATCACATTGGATTCCCTGCCTCGGTGCCTGCGATTCACCAATATGCTCAATCATCGTTTGCTTGTCCAAGACTGCAGCCCAGTTGACAGCAGCAACGCTGACTCTATCAGTTCCTTTCCCCATTTTGGGGATCAGGAAGGCAATATTCGGGTCTGTCGGCCATCCATGCTCAGTTTCCCGCTTTTGGGCTACCTGCCCCCGGGTTCTCCGCTCATTGCCGGCATCAAGGCTCACTTGTACCCGCCCAGCTGCAGCTCAGGACAACTCAGCGGCAACTCAGCTTAGCTTACTTTGCCCTCTCATCCGACAACATCATCTGGGGCCCCGAAAAGCCGGGACGAGCGGGGAACTGGGACGGCCTTAGCCACCGCGACTCGAAGCGACATTAGCAGGAGTCAGAGGACAATTTCAGCTTCTTGAGGATCTTCAGTCAAGCTTCTGTGATATCAGTTCTTGGCAGTTCGCCGCCCTAGTACCTGGCTACTCATACAAGTATGTTAGTTCAGGGTTTCGCTGATTGGCAACACGCTATCAACTCGCCGTACGAATTCCTTGACCTGGGGCTGCGGAGAAGTTGAAAAGATACCGAAGTCAAAAATGCGGGGAAGATCGACAAAGGATCCGGACCAAACCTCATATCCTGATGACCCGGTCGACCTCTCTGCTTTGTCTGCTCCCTCTTTCCACCGGAAACCCGCTTTAGATCATATGCACAAGCAAAGACGGCGACACGGAGTACCAGCCGGCAGCCTCATGAGAGGCGGGGTCGAGACCCGTTGCGTGGCCTTTCTCCTCTCCAACCCTCTTCTCGTTGATCCCTGTTTAAATGAGCGGTAAGAGCTGAGCAATATGGTCACTCGTGAAGATCATTCGCTTGATGCCACCACAGTCTCCTCCCAAGCTGATCCGCATGCGCTTTCTCCTCACCGGGGATCATTCCCCTTATCGGCGGGGTAGAGGGAGGAGGAGCTCAAGAAATTTGCTCTCGACAAACAAAGCTGACCGGCTGTCCAGTTATATATACGGGTCGGGAGCTTTCTGTGGCAGCTGCGTTAAGTGAATCGCGGTAGCAGCAGCGCCGGTCTCTGTATCCTGTGGTAGTCAAGTTACTTCACGCAGTCTCACAGTCTCACACAAAACCCTTGGGCTTTCTCTCATCATGGGCTTGTTTACGGAGCTGCCCGAGGAGTTCCAAGAGGTGGACGTGATTGTGGCCGGAGGCAAGTCCTTCCCTTCCACCCCGTTCCTCTCGCTCACGAGTTTGCATAGGAGGCACGGCGGGGTGCGTGGTCGCATCTCGGCTCGCCGAAGCAGACCCAAACTTGTCAATTCTTGTTATTGAGCAGGGCATGAACAACTACAACGTGCCCCAAGTCGTCCAGCCGGCCCTCTTCCCACTGAACCTTGACCACAACAGCCAATACACACTCTTCTGGAAAGGGAATAGGGCACCACAGCTTGCGGACCGGGAGCCAGTCGTCCCCAGCGGCGGAACTCTTGGTGGCGGCTCATCGATAAACTGGATGGTATACACTCGGGCTCAGCGATCTGACCTCGAATCATGGAAGACGCCAGGGTGGTCTTCTAAGGAGCTGCTTCCATTCCTGAAGAAGGTAAGGGGATTCTCTGTCCTATTTCTTTCTAAGCCCGACCTATCTAACTATCTAACCAGTTTGAAACTTATCATGGCCGGGGTGAAAGGGAGGCGCACGGCTATAGTGGCCCCATTAACGTCTCCAGTGGCACATTCCGGGCCACTCGTGCCGAGAACGACTTTATCGAAGCCGCCGCCAAAATTGGCTACCCCGAACTGAAGGATTTGCAGAATCTCGACAATAACAACGCCACCGAGCGCTGGCTGCGCTACGTTGGCCCAGACGGACGACGCCAGGATGCTGCCCACAGGTTCCTCCATCCAAAGCTGCAGAGCGGGCACTACCCAAATCTACATGTCCTGACGGAGAACCAAGTTGTGAGGGTTCTCCTCGATGACAAAAAGCGAGCCGTCGGGGTCGAGTATAGGCCGAATCCCAAATTCCAAGCTGCTGCTCGTGGAAAAGCTCTCCTTACTGCTCGTGCCTCGAAGTTGGTGGTCATCTCTGCGGGCGCGAATGCTACGCCACAAATTCTCGAGCGCTCCGGAATCGGTGACCCGAAGATTCTCAAGCGCGCCGGAGTCCCAGTTGTTGAGGACCTGCCTGGTGTGGGGAACGATTACCAGGATCACCACCTGACGCTATACACCTATCGAACAAGCCTTACGCCAAACGAGACCATCAACGCCTTTGCCGACGGCCGATTGAATGTCCAGGAAGAGATCAGGAAGAACAATAAGCAACTGGGCTGGAACTCCATGGACGCTTCAGGGAAGTTCCGTCCCACCGAGGCTGAAGTTGAAGCGCTCGGACCCGAGTTCAAGAGAGCCTGGGATCGAGACTTTAAGAATGCTCCTGACAGACCCCTGATGATCATTGCCATGTACTTGAGGTAGGACAAAGTATCCCGTTTCCACCATGGGTGTTATACTGACAGAGACCAGCTTCTTTGGGGATCATTCTACGTTACCGGATAACTCCGAGTATGTTTCCATTGCGAACTGGACGGCGTATCCCTATTCGCGCGGCCACATCCACATCACAGGACCGAAAATATCCGACCCGATTGACTTCGACGTCGGCTATTTGAAAGATGCCAACGAGATCGACATCAAGAAGCATATCTGGGCGTACAAGACCCAACGCGAGATCTTCCGTCGCATGAACATCTTCCGCGGCGAGCTAGCGGCAGACCACCCTCGTTTCCCTCCAGGCTCCAAGGCCGCCGTGGTCGAAAAGGCGGATGGCCCCGTCGCCGACGACGCGAAACGCATCGAGTACACGCCCGAGGACGACAAGGCCATTGAAGAAAACGTCAGGAAGATCGTGACGACCACGTGGCACTCATTGGGGACGTGCAAGATGGCGCCGAGAGAACAAAAAGGCGTTGTGGACGCTACCTTGGGCGTGTATGGCGTTCAGGGTCTGAAGCTGGCGGATCTGAGCATCGTACCCGAGAACGTGGGTGCAAACACGAACAACACAGCTTTGTTAGTCGGCGAGAAAGCGGCCGACATCATCATTCGGGAGTTGGGTCTCAGATCTCGTGACCGCGAAGCTGAGGGATACTCGAGAGCGAACCTGAATATTGCTCGACTCTGAAGATACCGGTAAGATGAGGTCGATTCACTCATCAAGGAGGCTGGGGGGGGGGGAGGATATTGAATATGGTCCGACGAGGATCGCGGGGGAAAGCGTCTTCCTATCCTATGACAGGGAATATGAAACACGTTACCGTTGTGCTAAACTTGGCTGGATTTACCGACTTGAGGGTTTGACTCAATTTCTGGCATCCGCTCGCCCGCGATGGCCAGCGCGTTATGATCATGTGCACTACGCCCTAGTTCACTACTCTTGGGCGACGAGAGGCTGGTCGAGTTGCGCCTTCCACGGGTCTAATACAGGTCCAACCAAATCCAATGACCAAATCCGGCTCCCCTGGGGTGGCGTCGTTACGTGTAGTCACCGTAGCCTTGGTCTGATGAATTGCAAACCGATCCTTTAGCAACC